CAGGCTGTTTTATCACGACAATGATTTTGACACCAAGCCTTGTAGCAGCAGCCTTGATCGTTAAACCACAAATCCAACGCTTATGCCTCCTTATGGCTTGAAGCCAACTGGCCCAATCCGTGGGAATGGCACCGTCTTCCTTTTCGACGGTGGTGTTAGACACATCAGGCGACCAGAAAGGCTTATAAGTGGACTCATGCTTAGTGATATGCTGACCAACTTGAACCCGCAGAGTGGCCCCCATGGCCGCCTTTTTGGATTGAACATCATCCCAAGAAGAACCACGCATCAACGCAGCACCAACAGCAATAGCATTGAAGCCACAAGAACCCTCCGCACCACAATCACGCTCAACGAAACCAGGAAAGACCAATTTGCGAGGTTGCACAGCGCCCGAAGCGGTCTTTTGCTTGGTCTTGACATGTTCAGCCGAAGCCTGCGGAGAACCAGTACGCTTAGCACCACCCTTTCCCTCTTGGTTGTCCTTGTCCTCTTCTTCCTCAGAGACTTCCATCTGAGTAGCCGCAACAGTAGGAACCTGAGAACTTTCCACACTAGGAGTGATAGCACTGGCAGAAGCACCAACCCTAGGACGCAAAACCAGCTTCTTGGATTCACGGTTGACAGGACCACGGGCCCCAGCTTTTTCCATGATGACCAATGATTCACCAACCTCAATGCCAGCAAAGCCGCCTGTCAGCACGGCAGGAGGCTTAGCTTTTAAGAGCCAAGGCCGCACCTTCTTGGTGGGGTAGGCAACCACGCTAAGCTCAGTCCAGCCGGCATCCTTCAGGACTTGAAACAAATCAGACTCAGACCAAGCAAACGGCACAGCCTTAGCACGCCAAACGGAGACAGATTGTTCAGTAGGAGCGACCGAAGAACGCAACCCCAAGCAATTGGCCCCACCAGCTCGCCAAGCGACACCAGCCTTAAGAGTTATAGCTTTGGTCAAGGCCAAGTTCAAATACTCAAGCGCTTCAAGCTCGCCGTGGTCAAGCCAAGAGACAAACTTGCTACCATCCCTTTCTTTTGCAAGCCGGTCCAGGAAAACCCCAGAGCGACCACTATGACACCACAACGCCTCAAGTTTGTCAGAGGAAACTTTGGCGTAACCAAGCAAAAATTCTTCACGCGCACCTTTCCAATTCACTTGCGAAGTCACGGACCAACCGTACGACGTGTGAATGGCGCAATTCTTATCCATCCCGACCCACTCTTGAATCATGGACGTAGCTTTGGTTTTCCAGAGCTGCCACTGCTCATTGCTAAGAAAGGCCCGTGGCACAACAAACCTCAAAGTAACCAACTCTTTCGCAACCGGAGCAGAAGCAACATGTTTGACCAACCCAGTGGGAAGAACAGGAGCTTCACGACCGAGAAGGACACAAGCTAACTTATGAAACTTAGTTGACTGGATGCCCGTGCCAGCGGAAGTGACGACCGGCAAAGTGACAACACTAACACCAGCAGGCAAAGATGACAAGTTAGCCCCAGCCACCAAGCAAGCAAACTTAACGGTGTCAAGCTTGTGGCCCTCAGCCAGCAACTTAAGCTCCAACGCCTTATCAACGGACGGAGCGAGAGCAACTGAGCCAACAGGAGCTTCACCGTTTTCCAGTTTTTTCCTGACTTCTCCAAAATCACGCACCTCACCCGCCTTCCAACATTGTCGGGCCAAAGAGACGGACGAGGAAACTCGTTTTGTAGCAGTAGGATTAGCGGCCGACGTCTTTTTGACAACATCGACCCATTTATCCGACTGCTGCGCGACATCAGGAGATTTTCGTCGGTCAACATTCAAACCTTTAGCTTTACTCAAAAAGCTCTCCAGCTTGGAGATCAACGTGGAAGGTTCTTTGCGAATGTCTTCGACGACTTTACTCAACTGATCAACCAACGCCCCTCCGCTTCCAGTGGAAGTTTCAGAGGTGACCGGACGTTTCTTCTTCTTTTTCTTTTTCTTGGGTTTATTGGTAGGCGAAGTCCCAATAAGAGAGCCAAGCACAGTACACAACCTAGTCAGCATTTCCTGTTGAGCAGCTTGTTCTTTCCTTTTTCGCTTAGTGGCCGATGACCCTCCGGCTGATCCACCACCACGGAGCTGGGTGTTCAAAGCTCCAGGGTGATTTTGCGCAGGCTCACGACGCAACAAGCAAATCAACCAAACTCCAAGCTTGCAACAACAAGCCCAAAACCTGACCAAAGTACGGCTCAACAGAAGACATGAAGAGCGCGACCGGCAGCAACCAGGGTGCCACCGCCGCACAAGACGATATCTTCGCCCAGCTATTGTCCGACAAGCCAAAGGTTTGCGAATTCGATGCGCCCAAAACAAAGCTCGGCACACCTCACAGAGAGATGCCAACTTTCTGCCTAAGCCAGTGTTAACCCCAAACCAAAACTGGAAAAAACCCAAAATGAGGTCTCTTCGGGCAACCTTTGGGCTATTCGTTCCCCTAGTGGGGGCCGCATGCTCCACACGGAGGATGCCCCGAATCATGCAGAAAGAAAGAAAGCATTTTGGGCAAAATACAATGGAGAAAACATAAAGGTTTTGGCAAAATACATACCAAAAAAAACATGTTGGGCAAAAAACAATAGAGAAAAACAGCATTTTGGGCAAAATACAATGGAGAAAACATAAAGGTTTCGGCAAAATACATACAAAAAAAAAGCTGTTGGGCAAAAAACAATAGAGAAAGAAGGCATTTTGGGCAAAATACAATGGAGAAAAGCGTAAAGGTTTCGGCAAAATACATACCAAAAAAAACATGTTGGGCAAAAAACAATAGAGAAAGAAGGCATTTTGGGCAAAATACAATGGAGAAAAGCGTAAAGGTTTCGGCAAAATACATACAAAAACCTGTTGGGCAAAAAACAATCGAGAAAGAAGGCAATTTTGGGCAAAATACAATGGAGAAAAGCGTAAAGGTTTCGGCAAAATACATTAAAAAAAACCTGTTGGGCAAAAAACAATAGAGAAAGAAGGCATTGTGGGCAAAACAAAATACATACAAAACAAAACCTGTTGGGCAAAAAACAATAGAAACAGAAGGCATTTTGGGCAAAATACAATGGAGAAAAGCGTAAAGGTTTCGGCAAAATACATACAAAAACCTGTTGGGCAAAAAACAATAGAAAAAGAAGGCATTTTGGGCAAAATACAATGGAGAAAAGCGTAAATGTTTCGGCAAAATACATACAAAAAAAAACCTGTTGGGCAAAAAACAATTGAAAAAGAAGGCATTTTGGGCAAAATACAATGGAGAAAAGCGTAAAGGTTTCGGCAAAATACATACAAAAACCTGTTGGGCAAAAAACAATAGAAAAAGAAAGCATTTTGAGCAAAATACAATGGAGAAAAGCGTAAAGGTTTCGGCAAAATACATACAAAAAAAAACCTGTTGGGCAAAAAACAATAGAAAAAGAAGGCATTTTGGGCAAAATACAATGGAGAAAAGCGTAAAGGTTTCGGCAAAATACATACAAAAAAAAACATGTTGAGCAAAAAACAATAGAAAAAGAAGGCATTTTGGGCAAAATACAATGGAGAAAAGCGTACAGGTTTCGGCAAAATACATACAAAAACCTGTTGGGCAAAAAACAATAGAAAAAGAATGCATTTTGGGCAAAATACAATGGAGAAAAGCGTAAAGGTTTCGGCAAAATACATACAAAAAAAAACATGTTGGGCAAAAAACAATAGAAAAAGAAGGCATTTTGGCAAAATACAATGGAAGAAAGCGTAAAGGTTTCGGCAAAATACATACAAAAACATGTTGGGCAAAAAACAATTGAAAAAGAAGGCATTTTGGGCAAAATACAATGGAGAAAAGCGTACAGGTTTCGGCAAAATACATACAAAAAAAAAACCTGTTGGGCAAAAAACAATAGAAAAAGAAGACATTTTGGGCAAAATACAATGGAGAAAAGCGTAAAGGTTTCGGCAAAATACATACAAAAAAATACCTGTTGGGCAAAAAACAATAGAAAAAGAAGGCATTTTGGGCAAAATACAATGGAGAAAAGCGTTAATGTTTCGGCAAAATACATACAAAAAAAACCTGTTGGGCAAAAAACAATTGAAAAAGAAGGCATTTTGGGCAAAATACAATGGAGAAAAGCGTAAAGGTTTCGGCAAAATACGCACAAAAAAAAACATGTTGGGCAAAAAACAATAGAAAAAGAAGGCATTTTGAGCAAAATACAATGGAGAAAAGCGTAAAGGTTTCGGCAAAATACATACAAAAAAAAACCTGTTGGGCAAAAAACAATAGAAAAAGAAGGCATTTTGGGCAAAATACAATGGAGAAAAGCGTAAAGGTTTCGGCAAAATACATACAAAAAAAAACATGTTGAGCAAAAAACAATAGAAAAAGAAGGCATTTTGGGCAAAATACAATGGAGAAAAGCGTACAGGTTTCGGCAAAATACATACAAAAACCTGTTGGGTAAAAAACAATAGAAAAAGAATGCATTTTGGGCAAAATACAATGGAGAAAAATTGCATTTGGGGTAAGATACAATGGAGAAAATGTTAGAAAAGTTTAGGCAAAATAAATGTAGATTCACGCCAAGCAAACTTAAAATAGAAAATATTATAAATTATTTTTTTTAAATGGTGAGCAACATTTTTTTATAAAATGGTAAGCACTATTTTTTATAAAATGGTTACAACATTTCAAAAAATGGTTGAGAAATTAACGTTTATAAAGTGGTAACACACTCGTCTCCCACTTCAGGTTACATTAACATTGAAATTTGGGGGCGAGGGGGTTGTACCGGATAGAAGGGGTTTGAATATTTCGTCCATCTACGGTAGTATGGGGTCCCGTGCCACCAACGGCATGTTGGTTAACTGGCTTCAAGAGAAAACAGTTTCGTGTGTCTTCCACGTGCAGTTCAGTGTGTTTTCTTGCTTTTCACAGCATGTTCGGATGCTTGGAAGAACTGCTGGTTTGTCATGCCTGGGGAAGATGGGCAGTTGCTCAACAAAGGTCATGCGCAGAGAGAACGAACTGCAAAACGCTTCGCAGAGGTGCAAAGTCGTTGGGAGGATCTGTCAGTGTGATTTGAAAAAATGGTTACATCAATGTTGGTCTAGAATCTTTCACCAGGAATCTCCAGCAACGAGCTGATCATGTTCAACATTCACGGAGTTGATTCCTTTTTCCTGCCTTCTGCCATTCTCCACATCAAACCTAGGTTTCCTCACGTACCAGCTGACCAAATGACCTGTCCAGCGCGGTGCCTCAATGGCCATCCCGAGGAGTTTCAAAAGTGACAAGATCCACATGGGTACCCCAAAATGGGATAGCATATGATAGCAATACAATATATATGTTAGCATTGAGCCAAGATTTATTGATTCTGGGCTTGTCACCACGTGCTCTACATTACTCATTTGTTCCCCAAAATGCACATGAAACTTTGATGATGTGATCTTCATGGTCGCACGCGCCGCACATGGTAGCATTGGTACAGTCACCAGGGCTGTGAGGCCCCGCCACTAAGGATGAGCCACCAGCGAGCTCATTGAAATCCTATATGAGCTTTCTGGCCATGGTGGCCAAATCCAGCATTTGAAATCCAGAAAAACTGTACAGACGCTTGGCACTTGAGCAACGTTGTTGTCCTCCCGGGCATGATTCAGACTTCAACGAATTCTTTTGGGATAGACACACCACTCCAACACAGACGGGTTTCAACAGCTAGAGTAGAGGGCGGCAAAAAGGATGCCTGTGGGAAGCGGGGACGGGGACGGGCAGTTTCGGATGAACGATCCTTAATGGAATCCTCAAGAGCTTCCATAGATTCCCATAGTAATTGTTGGTTTGGATAATATTAATTCATGAACCTTTCTTTTACATTGAAGAGTGCTGTTCAATTGATTGGGACCACTTTTGAGGGGTATCGCTTGGCTCTACTTGGAACGCCATCACAGCAGATGTTTTTTTGGAGTGGATGGTTGCAAACCAAATCGGAAAACCTACGATTTCATCTGAAAACCGCAGAGGTGCGAGTATCTTTGTTGACTGTTCACAGGATGGAAAGGTCTGTCAACAGATTTGAGATAGTCAACAGTGATGGAACCCCAGATGATCTCAAGGATCCCAAGGGGTGATGGCAGCATATGGCAGCACCCTGCGCAGGTGCGTGTGAAGCGCTACCGACGTTTGCGCCGGGGTGAGCATATCATGGCCTTGAGGCCAGACACGGCCAGACACGGCCAGACGAGCCCTGTGAAACGCCAAGTCTCGTTGAGTTTCATGGAAATTACTGACAGTTTTTTAGATGAATTCTTCAGGAGAATTTGATCGAATTGACTTGATGACTGGTGGGGTTGAGGTAAGTTTACATGTTTTGACACCATCTAAAGATGGGATACCTGGCAATTCTCAAGTTGACTCAAGTGCCAATGCCTTTCATCAAAAGAGATCGTTAGACAGTTAGACACCCAGTTTCCAATGGTGGATTCCCTTCTGTGAGGCAACACAACGAAATGATTGCCAACGTGGTTGGGATGCTCAGTGTAGGTATCAGTGATATCCACTCAATGTCAAGCACCATGGGATGAACCGAGCCTGAAACTTCGAAATATATACCGTTCAAATATGTTCAAATTATGATATCAAGCCACTTGTGTTTGAAATTCTTTGAATGTGTTTGACACGTTGTCTTACGGTTCAAATCTTCAGACCAAGTCCGTTCCCAAAAAGGTGCCCAAAAGGGTGCCACCGTGCGCCAGCGTCAGCTCCCAAGGTCCGGCAACTCTGCCGTGGAGCCACGACCAAACGAGTGCCACTCAGCAGGTGCACGGCGCACGGTCAGATGAAGCATGATGGTTATTGTTTTCTATGAATTCTATGAATTCTATGCTATTGTCTTCTCATGTCGGTTACTTGATTATCAAACATGATTAAACTCTGATAAGACTTTAACTTTGGTATAAAGATGTATTAAACGTGATTTAACTTAGGGCATTGACATTCAATGGATCAACCTGAAATTACCCACCCCACCATGTTTTGTTTTTTTAAGTTTCCGACTTCCCACCAGCAATACTCCGACCGGAGCCCCGGCTGCCAGTCGCTCGGGAGATCGAAGTCCAAATACTGCGAGAGGCGCTGCAGTGATCGGGGGTGGTGGATCCATCTCTGTACAGTTTGCAGTTATCACAGTTATCACATGACCATGCTACTTTTTCTCGAAGATCAGGCCCATTAGGATGGTGTTGGTTAGGACCGTTAGGATCGTCGGCCTATTTAGATTATGTTTCTATTTTGAGGTTTGGGACAAGATGGACAATGAATACATCTTTGAAATCATCAATGGATTGGTTTAAGGGAAAATCTACAGGAAACCATAGATTTTCCCATTAAATATGGGGCTTTCCTGTAAATTTTCCCTTAAACCAATCCAGTGAAATCACCAACAGTCGGGTTTTGGGCAGAATCCAATGTTTTTTCGGGTGCTAAAAAGCAGGCCATCGACACATCACCCATGAATTTTGGCCAAGGTTTCGGCTCTGGATCTCAAGTATCTGTGCTGCCACGCCCGACATGTTTTTTTTGGGGGGAGATGACCCACAGATGGATGAAGTTTACTATAGTTTACTATAGTTTACTTCAACTTTTGGAATGGGATGTGTTTCAGAGGATATTTCAGAAATCATGGAAGATCGCAAGATAGCAATGAAGATAGCAATGAAGATAGCAATGAAGATAGCAATGATAGCAATGATACCAGGATGAATTTTGCTTTCGGTTTTCGCCAGGTCAGAGGTAAACACCACCTTGGCCTCTCGAGTCGGGCGACCTGGGATCATGTTTTATCCTTGTCGGCCTGTCCACATCGAGTGTACCAAGTGACTCCAAGTGACTCCAAGTGACCAATACTTTTTGGATCGTTTGGAACATTTGGAACCAACCACCAATATCCACCAGTAAGATCTTGGCAATTGAGTCCATCAACGCACTTTCAGCATGGTACTTTCTCATGTGTCAGATGGGTCAGATGGGTCAGACATTCTTTGCCAGTCGTTGAGTTTCCAAGATAAGCAGTTTCCAACTTGGAAATCGCATTCAGCTCAACAATGCTTTGGAAGCTAGTGAAGTTGGGACCCAAACCTATTCCATTAGCAATTTCCGGTGTTTTGCATACAATGTCAGATATGATAGAATGTCAAAGTATATGCTAGAAAGAATGTCAGATAGAATGTCAGAATGAATATGCCATATAATAATAATTATTATATAGATATATACCAGATGGTCTGTCATAAACTATGTCAGGATAGTGTTTCAGTGGGGATGACTCGAAGAAAGTAATTTTCATATTAGAGAATTGTGCGTAGTCAGCACAACGACGGATCCCTCTTTAGGACCGCAAAATGGCAAAAGATATGTAATTGATGTAATTATACAGTATATACATATACTATATACAAAATACATTCAAACTTATTCATCTTATCTATGGAATCGATGGCTACGTATATCCATAGTTTGTTGATCACCCCGGCGCCCCAGGGCACATGCTCCATATCTGAGGTGCCTTTGGATCGCCTGCGAGCCAGCGCCATCAGGCAGCCTTTGCATTGCTAATTCCGGGCATTTGAACTAGTTCAATGCCCAATTTTGTTGGATCAACTTCACATTTTGGGCATTTTTGGGTGGTGGTATCCCCTTTTTGTATTGCTGAAATCCACCTTTTGATGGCAAACATGACCGGTTTTTATTGGATCAATCCACATTTTGTTGGATAAATCATGATAAATCGCAAGTTTGATAAGATAGATGCCCATGTTTTCTGCAGAAGTTACCTTTTTCAGTGAATAAAATCAACCTCATTGGATGGGATAATTCCCCCTATTTTCATTGGTCTAGGTCAAAGATGTTGAGCTGCATCCGATTTGAAGCCCTGCTCAACACCGATGGCGACCCCGACTGCCCGTGGCCCATACAGGACCAAGGGGCCATGTATGAAACCATATGAAACCTAAAAGTGTGATTGCAATTGCCTTTTTCTGCAGGTGGTTTCTTGTGTTCTTTTATAATGGTTTTGTTTTGCAAATTTTGGCCCAAGGTTGGTGCATTGGAACCTGTTGCTGTGCGATGCTGTGCTGTCGAGCCCAGGATCCCTATCGCCGCTATGGTGCGGAGCATTTCGCCAAGGATGGGGCCATCATTTGGCAGACACCTCAGGGCCTCAGGTTGTTGGATGAATCTGGTTCCAACTTGGCTTATGAGTAATTACGGCTCAAGAATTGGAAATTTGGGTTGAGATTTGGCTGCATCCAAAAAGGTCAAGAGGATGCCGATGGATTTATAGTTTGCAGTGGGCTAGAGAGACCAAGCTGTTTCGGGGAAGGAGATAAACATTTTAGCAGCTTCCTCCACCTCCCATCTTCAAATTTGCCTCAGGTTCGAACCGCTCCCACCGATGCTTCCAATTTTGGATGCGAATCCCAAGTTGCCACCCTCAAAGATGCCAGATGTCCGGAAGCCTAGGGACCTCTATGGATCAAGGTTAAAAGTTAAAATCGAACCCTTTTACGCTTTCATAAACCTAGGTGGACCTGGCGAAAGACGTGGAATCTTTCAGTGTGTATCAGGAGTGCCTGACATTCTATGGGTTGATAGATCTTTCAAAGAACAAGCAAGGCTCAGCCTCCACTTCCACTGACCAGCCACTTTTTCTGCCTTCTCATTGCTAAGCCTCACAGCTACAAACCAGAAACAAGAAGACACCAATTGAGTCTCCAAAGCAATATCCAGTTGCACAGGAAAGCAGTCCCTTTCTATTTGATGGGATTTTGACCATGATATGATGCCCACGTTCCCTCGCCCAGGCATATTCCCTGGTCCTGGACCTTGATGAGCCTTGGCAGATGGCGCAGAGAACAGCGGGAAGAGTCTCTGGGGGTGTCCTAGTTTCAAGACACAATAGGTAAGGTATGTTATTAAATTTTATTTGTTCTATTCTTTTCTATTCTATTATATTGTATTTTATTACACTATAGTTTTATTTTCTGTTATTACATTATATAGTTATATATATTATATTATATTATATTATATTAGATTAGACTAGATGATGTCAAATTACATTAAGTAAAATTATATTGTATTAGATTATAGCTTAGATTAGCTTGTTTTGTATTGTGTTGTATTGTTTTGTATTGTTTTGTATTGTTTTGTATTGTTTTGTATTGTACTATTTTATGCTATATTGCATTATTTCATATCATGTCATATGACGGCATGTATTGTGATATTTTGATACTATGGTATTATGATTTTATTATAATATGATATTTTGATATCATATATATATATACAGTATATGTATATATACATACATGCTATTGTTATTACGGTATGGGAGATATTCTTCTTATATACATAGCTAGCACTGGTTAATTGTGCCCCGACCGAGGTATCATAGGACCCTATCCAGGTCCAGCTGGCTCCCAGGAGACCTTGGTACATTACTCGGAGCACGATGGGATGGGCAGCTATGAGATTAGGCATTGGCCAACGAGCTGCATGTTGGACATGTTGCCATATTGTTTACCGGTAAGTCTAAATTGCTGTTGAAGTTGACATTTGCCAGATTTTGTCTTGAGACTGGTTTGGTTTGCTGCTCTGTAGCCACAACTCGCTGCCGACAAGATCAAATGCAGTTTCTTCGCAATATCCCAGTTGCATTGTCAGTGTCTGAGAATTTTGCCCTGTACCGCTCCGTATCGGAGATATTTTGAGGTTCTCCTGTCTGCGACTGCTACAGTTTGCTACAATATGTCAGGGGTACAAGAAGTCTGTTTTTGGACACTGCGGCAATCATTCAAAACACCACGAGACCATTGATGCATTGCAAAGATTGTCTGATTTACCCGGATTAACCCCCAGTATTTTCCTCCAAGTATTGTCAACTTGTTGTGGTAGCTATCCAGTGATGGGATGTTTGCAGCCTTAACCCTATCCCTTGCAGAGAATTCCCAGAGTTCAGTCTACAACAGTGAAGTCTCCAGCAATTTTGGATGATTGTGGCTAGTGTTCGGCATGTTGCTCTGGAATTTCTTGATAATTTTGATACACAACAGAAAGGAAGTTGGACAAGAGAGTTTCCTGGATACCCGAACAGATACCCGAACAGAGATGGGTCATCAGGGAAAGATTTGAAGTGACTTGAAGTGACAGTCATGTGAATGGCTCGTCTCCTATGTTGTTATCATATTCTGCCTGACTCAGATTCTGAGTTCTCTTGAAGTTGTCCCCGAAGTTGTTTCCTTTCATGATATTAAGGTCATCATATGAACTTGGAATAGAATATGAAAAATGAAGGTACAACTCTAATCATTCAGTTCTAGAAATGGGCGTCAGGCAGAGCTCTGTCTTGGCGTTTGTTGTTGGGCGCTGTGCAACTGCTTGACAAATCTTCACGCTATGCTGCTGACGATTGCTTCATGCTTACTCTGTTTCTCTACATAATGCCGGTAAAATGGTACACCTATCCCCCAATCCCATGGTATGGGTGGGAGGCTCTGCCCTCACCTCCTTTGTAGAAGCGAGATGCACTTGGAAAGTACTTCTGGGAACATGGTCCGGGAACTGTTGCAACCCCTGTTCGCGCCAACTTCAAGGGATTGAATTTTCTGCGTTGGTCTATCCCGATTGCATTCAAGTTGTCCGTGTCCCCCCTTCTAGCTTACCATTGGTCTTATAGGATGACGTGTTCTTAATGCCTCTGCTGAGTAAGGCTGCTTAGCTGCTGTTCCATTCGGCAAAGCATCGCATTTCGGCAGGGCAAGCGCCCAGCCGATGCCCAACCATTGCAATTAACACGCGGTTCCGCCATCTCGCTTTCCGACCTTGATTTGCACCCTTGCCCCTTGGTGCTCCTGAGAGCAGCGGAGCACTTCCCCATGCCTGCAGGCCGGGCATGCAAGAATTCATCCAAAGAATCTCGGAAGCACTTGTCTCCCCTGAAGCCATGTTTGTGCCTGCTCCCTTGCACCAGAGGGCCGCACCAAACAAGTATGTCCTGGTTGTTGGGGGTGGGCGGCCGTGACGGCTTAAAAATCGAAACGGAAAGTGCGCAGCGTGCGCTGCAAGACGGCTTAATTTCCGCAGCGAGGAATGCACGCCCACGGCTATGAGCTCATCATCTTCACAGCTGCTACACAGGACACAACATGTTGGGCTGTTTCTTGTGGGCGCGGCTGGCGCAACACCTCTGGCAAACTGGGGTGCACGTGTGGTTCCAGCCTCCATTCTTTCGATGGGATGGTTGGTTCATTGAAGCCATTGCTTGCAGGGCGCCACCAAAAAAACTGTACGGTATTTTAGCTCCTCTCACACCATTGTGCGGAATGACTTTCAAGAACGTTTGTTTCCTGGTGCGGCGTTTTGTTTTGCAAAGCGGGCATTGGCCGATATTGGCCGCCCCCAACATGGGATAGTTTTTACAATGAGAACAACATCTGGTCTTTGGGGTTCTATCGGCCAATACCAAACAATTGAATTTATGACATGACAAGTTGCAAATTCCTTAAAAACGTTAAGAAACAACCTTCCCCAGTATTCAGACATTGCACGCTGCTGTACACGCTTGGAGATTTGGGACGTTTTGCAGGACTATGCTGATTGGGTCATTGACCAGATTGATCCAGATCGCTGGGAAACCTGGGAAACCCACTGTGGGAATGACGTGTGCGCTCACAAGCTGTCTCGGACAAAACATATCAACGTGGGCAATGGAATGGAAGATTGCGCATTTCCATTGCCCATCGGCGCCCATCGGCCTTGTCACAACATCCTTTGTTTGCCAACCATAAGTTGACATATTTGGGTTTTGCTCGGTTTTGGCCCGCAAGAAACCATCACTGAAACTGAAACGACTGATTTTTTTCATGCCACATCATACCAGATCACACCGCATCATGCCGCAGCACGCCGCATCATGCCAAATCATGCCGCATTTCAAAAAAATCACACACCATCGAGAATAATGTACGCGTTGCAGAAAGGTGGATTACTTTGGGTTTCATTGTTTGCTTTCAAAAAGCAGTTTGCTGTGACCCAAAGTGCAAATGTGCAAATTCTCCCAAGCCACAGCAATTGCCAATATCGATGGACTGTTAGGATTTTTCTAACTTGCTCCCAGTGTGAGACTTTGGGGCGTGTTTGAGGTCAGAAATCGTACCCCAAACAACGCCGCAAATTGCGCCGCAAATGTACATGAACTTCACTACCTGTTACCCAACTGTGCATGGGCCTTTTTGTAACACTTAGTTTTGCCGTCCACTGCAGTGTGGGCCCAGGTTTAATTCATCACCGTCTCTACCGACAGGCCTTGTGGGATGTGGCAGGGATGGGGTTTTTGAAATTCAATGCCTTGGGGATGCTGTTTCCATGGCGTTGTATTCCATTAGTGTTGTGGAGATGGCATGTTGGCATTCTCAGCACACTTGGTGAACCAACGGAGATCACTTGGAGTTTTTGGAGTTGGTTGTTTTTCTTTTTGGAGTTCAAGGCACACCAAACCAGTTTGAGAGTAGCAAAGCAAACCAAATGGTTTCACCAACGCCGTTGTTCGATCTGTTACGTAATCCTGCCTTTCTGTTTGGGTGTACTTTCCTAACACTATCTAGCAGTGCTTCCAAAATGGGATAGTTTGATACAAAAATCGTCTTCAAATCCGTGATACCCTTGGTTTTGAATCGAAACCTTGACTCAGAAACTTCTGAACTCCTGGCTTTATCCCACAGTATCCACTATATATATATACTATATCCCACTTGTTGGTTCTATGAGTTCCCATTGCTAGTTACATCCCAACTCTCGCCATGGCCAGCACGCCCTACCTTGGGGTCCCATCTTCGTGAAAGATCTCAGCCGCATGGGACGCGACCTGGACCCTGCGGTGAGTCGGTGATGAACTTGAGGTTTTCCACAGATATCCCTCTGGGGTGGTCAGTGTATTACAATAACATACAAGAACTACAGGGTCAATCAACAGTACACAAATGTTGGTAATGCATTGTGATTTGTACCAGGTATTTCCCAGGTAGTTCAACTGGACCCCAACTACTGTACTTGTTCTGTTTGTTCATCGTGAGCTGGTTGTAGATCAATCCTGGGGAATCCTGGGAGAACTTGGGCTATTCATGACACGTGAGCCACGAGGCTCAGATGACGACATACGTTTCGTAAGGCTTCCCATCATTTCCAAACTGCACAGCTGATCTATGTTGATCTAACAGGTGACCCCACAGTTGTGGTTGCTTCAACAACCTTTTGTTGGTGTGGTGGAAATTCTCACCGTACAATTCTAAGTTTTTCAAAGAGATAAAGATTGGGTGAAGGCTCTTAGCACACCTTGGCCCAAGATTTCTTGGTGGCCCATGGGCGAGCAGCTGCCAGCCACCAGCGCTGATGAGGCCACGATTCATTCTTTTTGGCAGCTTATCACTTATCAAATTGGTGATCCAATGAGATCGCATGTTTATTGTCAGCAAGTTGCCAATGTATATTGGACCAAAAAAAAGAAACATCAAAGATCTATGGGTAACTTACTCCTGCGGCTGTCAGTTTCACGAGGTCTCAGGTGTCACAGAGAAATCTGCCGGAAGTGCTTCCGATGAGAGCGAGAGCGAAGAGGTGAAGTTTGCCGCTGGACCGGCTGGACCGGCTGGACCTGGCAATGTGTCGATGGGTTGAACCTGGGGGAACTAAAAGTGTTCAAATGGTGCTCACATGTTTGACATACTATGACATACTTAACTGTTGTTTATTTTGAATTAGAATCCATTGCTAGCATGGATCATGGGGTCCAGAGCTTGGAGATTTGATTGTAGCAGGCTTTAGTCACTTTAGTCTTCCCTGGTTGATTTGGAAAAAAGTGATGACCCTTGAGTTTGCTTGCCTCGTTCAAAACATACGCTTCCCTTTGATGCCTTTAAAACTGCGTTGGTTGGTAGGAACAGATTTTGAGCGATTTCTTTGAGCCAGTCCTGCGACTAACTAACATGATGTTGGAAACAAACTCTTCGAACGCCAGATGTATAAGCTATGGTGGCTATATGTATCCAAGATCCAAAATGTTGGTTGATCTATGATCGCTGGTCTTGAACAATGACACCTGTGATGTACAGCTGAGGACTATTACGCAGTGTTGGATTTCGAATGCACCTGCGACAAGGGCACCACCGAAAGGAGCGAAAAGGGCAGTGCTAGGTCAGTTGAGTCAGTTGAGTCCGTTGGCCCAGTTGGCCCAGTTGGCTGTTTTCGTTTTCTCGGAGGAAGTTCAGGCACGAGATCATCGAGTTCCCAGTGGTGTTCTTGAACTCTGAAACCTTGGAGGTGCTGCCTCCGTGGCTGACAAATGGCTGCCGATTTCCGGATCATCCGTTTCCACCAACATGGTAATATGATGTAATATGATGTAAGATGATGTTATATGATGTTATATGATGTTATATGATGGTATATGATGTTATATGGTGTTAATGATGTAATATGATGTAATATGATGTAATATGATGTAGTATGATGTAGTATGATGTAGTATGATGTAATATGATGTAGTATGATGTGATATGATGTAATATGATGTAAGATGATGTTATATGATGTTATATGATGTTATATGATGTTATATGATGTTATATGATGTTAATGATGTAATATGATGTAATATGATGTAGTATGATGTAATATGATGTAGTATGATGTAATATGATGTAGTATGATGTATATGATGTAATCTGATCTAATATGATGTAGTATGATGTAATATGATGTAATCTGATGTAATATGATGTAATATGATGTATATGATGTAATCTGATCTAATATGATGTAGTATGATGTAATATGATGTAATATGATGTAATATGATGTAATATGATGTAATCTGATCTAATATGATGTAGTATGATGTAATATGATGTAATATGATGTAGTATGATGTAGTATGATGTAATCTGATGTAATGTGGCAATATGCGGATGAAAATGATGATAGACCATCCAAACAAAAAAAGCCAATGTTGTGGAGCATGTGTATCCCAGTCTTGATCCATGCAATCCACACCCAGATTCTGACTACGTGTGGCTGAGCGGTCTAGCAATGCCAGGTGGATTTGGAATTCCATCGCTATGTGCGACCCACTGAGAAACCTCAGCTGACGGACCCGAAAGTGGAAGGGTTCAACGATGTTTGGGCCCACTTGAAAGATCCGAATCCCCTTTTGACGCTGATAATTTTCACACCTTACATGGTATTGGTGGTATCCAATTCCAGGAAATCATGATGTGAAGACCGGAAAGCATTGAGTGGCATCGACTTGGGACTACATTCCCTTTCCATCTCCTACTCCAGCAGGAGTTCTGCATTGAGCTCACCGGGATTCAGCAGTCGTGGGTCGACAATGTGATTTGACTGCCAGAGGTTTTGCCAGGCGACACTCCGACCAAACCTTTCCTTGCCTCTCCCCCTTTGGGAGGTTGTTGTTGACCAAATTTGGTGCTTCAGATGCGGAACAAGTTTTGGCGACAGTGAGGAGGTTGGCTGAAGGGGTTCATGCCACATTGTTCTTTGATTTTGACCCGAGATTCATAGAGCAACATTTTGCGACTCACAAGTGAATTCCACATGATGCCAAATGATCAATCAGACCTGCCAGCACCAAGGCAGATACAATTGATGTGGTTCTGCGAGAATTTTACTCCTTCCTGGAGGAGCAATCGCTATTCTATCGCCCTGCGTCTGGACACTTGCCGCAGGAGCATGGATGATGGCAGGTTGGAGTTAGCAATATGGCCCTTGTGGCTGTACTGATCCTTAACTTCCGAGTTTTGCAATGTACTAGTATCAAAGAACTTGTTCCAGTCGCCATGAATCAGAGCTCATTGAAGGTAGGCCACTTGTCCAATGGCTTGAAACTACGAAACATCTTGAAGCCGTCCGTTGTAGAGCAGCTTTAAAATGTTCATGGTTGTGCTGCTTGACTCCCCATGAGACTGTTGACTGTTGATTTTGGAAGCCCCAAGACTTCAAGAAGAAATAGTATAACCTCAAAATCTCAAAACAACCTCAAACATGGCAACGTGACACCTCATCATTGAGCATGTTCACATCAACTTTGGTGTGTCGACTGTGCTAGGATCTATCATGATCTATCAATCCCAATTGACAATACCAATCATCCCCAATCCGACATCGAGGTGCTCGGACCTTTGTCTTCTGCAGCTTGACCGCACTTGCGATACTGTTGCGTAGTTGGTCACTAGTTGACACTCTAATTTGTACAGCAAGGGAGGAGGATGGACCGATGATGTCGTTTGAGGGTACCCTGAACCAGCATAAGTGCAAACACTGGCAAAACCGTTTTTGCAACATATGGTATTGCAAATATGATCTGATTTCCTGTTGCAACAGGACTTCAAACTGTTCTACTGCACGGCTCACATGTGCATGATGCAAAAACGCAGATGCCAGTTGTGATTTCACTTAAAGCCAATCCTGAGGGTAATTCTGTTGACATCACTTCTTTCAAACTTTAAATTCCCCGGCAGAAACGGGATCCCAGGTACAGATGGGCCCATGGATTTGCAAGGCTTCCTGCGGCCGGAATGCCGCCGCAAAGGCCCGGTGCTTCCATGAACAAGCCATTTTGAGTTTGCCCTGGAATCATCAGATATCATCAGATTTGAATAATCATCAGATAAAAACATGGTAAAATCCATGGTATAAAATCCATGGTAAAATCCATGGTTTGCCGAGCGGTTCCATTCACACTCGGTTGATAAGTTGATTATGGTGACGATGGGGAAATCGTGCGAATTTGGTGATAAAACTGGCTGAGAAATCGTATGAGCATTCTGCATTTATCTCTGTCAATGGGAATTAGGTTTTTCACTGCGTTGAAGAGATCGTTTCTGCACGTCGAATTAGATGCCAAGGCCTAAACTTGCGCAATTGCTGGCAGAGCTACATCGATGTGAAGATCCTTGTTATGTCAAAGGGACTGTTTACTGGAAGTGAATCCAAGCGAATGATACGGTGAACGTGGGCATGTTCCACTGTGCATTTGTAGTTTTGTGTTCATTCAGAGCTATAAATCCAAATATGTTGGCTTAAACTAAGTTGGTCCCACAGCTGGGTATGGAGGGCACTGGTGTTTGCTTACCAGCGGCCAAGGAAGACCTTCAGCGAAGTCTTCAAAGAAAAGAAGTGCAGCTTGCAGGACTCAACAGTTCGGAGGATCTTCTAAGATGGGAGATGATTAAAATGTGTTAACCTGACGCAGGGTGGTTTTCTTGTTCTCAATTCTCAGAAGGTGCCTTCATGTGAAAAAAACTAATTGTTTTATCTAGGTTTGAGACATGAGCCAAATGCACCAGAGTGACGCCAAGCAGCACACCTGTTTGTGTTTTGCCTCCTTGCCCCCATACTTCAGCTCCTATCCACCGAGCTCAAGTTTCCAGATCATCACCGGTTGCCAAGTTTTAGGGGCGAATTATTCCCAACTGACAAACAGTGACTAACATAATTTAGTGGCGCCACCAGGAGATGCTGAGCTGCCGAGGTTTGCAGTTTCAAGGGAGGTGCGGTCCCAGGTCCAGTCGACAACCTCAAAAGTGGGTTTCCCAAAATGGTAGACCGGTAGACCCAAAAATCACCCAAAGTTTGCAATTGTTTGATCGGAAAAACATGGTTTGGAGTACCTCCTTTTGAGAAACACCCCACTAGCATAAATAAATACGGATAGATAAAATATGATTATATACATAATTACCTCAATTAGCAAATGCAGATTGAAGATGCACAAAGGGATGCGATGTCAAAGGGGAACATCTGTCGGATTGTGGATGCGAATGTCGGCGCCCTCTCGCATCAAGGCTGACATTTGCCCAGAAATGAAATAGTATGTGTGGCATATGTTGGCGTCACGTCCTTTTTGGGAAGGAGCCGCATTGTTTGCAGTATCATTACTTTTACCATGATCATTGTGATTATTGTTTTGATTGTTGTCATGATTGTCCTTATCATTGATGTTATGTTGACTTTCGTTTGAATCAGGATAATCAGGATTGCTATGTTTATCCTTAGTGATTGATACTGACATTAGCCGTTTGTTGCTTGCGAGGCCTCACTGTGGTTTAGACGATTCCAAGAACATCGCTCGCCTGGTCGCGGAGCTGCTACGAGAAGGCCTTTGCTTCAGCTCAAAACCACCCTGGTTGATGTTTTGATCGGACATGGAAAGTCATTGTTTATTGATTGGGGGATTCGTGGGAGTCAGTTTCATGCCGACGGGATTGAATTCATATCCATAGATAGATGCACTGTTTTTATCAGCGTCTCAGTCCTCCTGAAGTTTATTTTGATCTGCTGAAATCTGCCAGGACATTGTCTTCAACCACCTCCGCTGCCAAAACCCAAGGAGCCCAAGGCGCCGCCGCAGCCCAAGGCGCAGCCAAAGCCGAATGCCGCGAAGAAAGCGAAGAAGGGCAAACGAAAAGGAAGAAAGAAATGAAGAAAAAAAGGGAAAAGAATGTGTGTGTATGTGTGTTTTACCATGTTTCTACCTGATGATGTTGAATGATATTTGACGATGACATTTGATGGTGATATTTGGTGGTACATGATGGTATTTCATGATATTTGATCATTCTATGATTGATCTGATTGCATTTTGATGGTTCATGATCATAGCATGAAAAAAAGAATCAGCAGGGGTATATCGAAGGCAAATCAGACATTGTGAATCGTAAATCAAGAACCACAATCAGGATTGCTATGATGCCAGTCAATGTGGGGACTTACTCCGTTTGGGTGGAATGAGTCAGGACTTGTAAGAGAGAGAAAATGTAGCACATTTTATTTGCAACGGTCTAGAGATTTTCAATATGATCGGTTCAATCTAATGTTTCAAGTGGGATCCGGAAGCTGAGAGATGAATGCATCTCTTGCCTTTTCTTGCAAAGTTCAGATGCAGCTGCGCAAATGGTCCAAATCTGGCTCAGGTGCTAGAATCACCTAGAGCATGTGTTGTCCATCGAAATCAGCCAACACTGGGAGTCATACGCACCTGACCAATGGTTGCATACAGCAAGGAGGAGATATCCTTCACGTACCGAAAGGGCATCACGGGCATCAGTCTCGTGCAATTCTGTTTGGGCACACCCTGCTGATCAGGACAAAAAAATATTGTTTCTTTTGACAGATCAGATATGGCACTGTTCAAAAGTTGACGAGTACCCGAGATCAAGCTGCCTTCTCCTATACTTGAAACATCTCGAAACCAACATGCGAATGCATTATCTCGGTAGGTTCTGAAATAAAACCTCCAGCAAAAAATGCAAACAAGCTATTCCAGCCTCTTCCCAAGATACTCAGCTTCAGCCAATGGTTTGTTTGGGCCTTGCGCCCCCATGCTGTAGCTGCGCTGCCCAGTATGCAGCAGCGCAATTTGCAACTGGAGACGGAAAAGAGACTTGACAAAACATGGTTGGTTTTGACATGGATCATAATTCAAGACCCCAACTATTGGATGATTCCCTTCTAGTATTCTGACCTGGCAAGAAGAAGTACCCTACGTACAGCAAGCGTAGTGGTTCGTTCTGCGTCCATTCTGAACGATGTTCGGATCCGAGAGCGGTTTTCGCATTACCATGTTAGATTCCCTGAAAACATCAACCAGTTCACCACCGGCTGAGCTCGATAAAGGACCAGAGTTTCGCTCAGGGCGCTGAATGACACCAGAGTTTCAATTGTTGATGGAAACAAATCCCATTTCCTGATTCGCCTCTTCTTGCCACAAGTGGTCAAGAAAGTTTAACAAGTTTGAGGGGATGTCCCTTGCTGTCAGGAGTAGTGAACCGGTGTCCGATCTGAACACGTATTCATCCTGTCGCACCTCGCAGTTGAATGTGATCCGGGACAACTGGGACAATTCGACCTGAAGCGATCCTGGTGTCATCAAATGCTGGGTCTGATGGTTTTTGGGAAACCACCCCCATATGTGAACTTTGCGGTTCATCATGGTTCATCCCAAGATCCACCCAAGTGCTCGGAACAGCCAACTGAAAGGGGTAACTTCAGAAATAGCCAAATGGCAACGGCTCAAAATCAGCAAAAGCTGGAAGGTTCCGCGTGGTTTCCATGTTGCATCTTTCAACCCCTGGCATGACCGCTGCAGGCACGGATGAACAGTCGGATGACTCCGACGAGGAGTCCACCGAGACGTGTCGATGGTGCCCTGTGAGCAGTGGCCATAGCTGTTTCATGGAGATTTGATGGAGATGTATATTGACCAACCATTCATGGGGCTGATGTCATCGTCATTATCTTACTTCATTATCTTCATTATCTTCATTATCACGAAAGGTAGCGTCAGTTACCTAGGGCGGTCCAGTGTGCGTCGTAGTCGATGAAGAAGAAAATCATAGAGGGCTGGGGGGCCCTTCGATGTCGCCTCGGGATGCGTGTGGAGAGACTGCAGAGAGTGAGGCAGGTTTGTTTCCAGCGGAAGCAGCTGAAAGTGACATCTTTTGGCTCATTTTGGATGTCCATCGTCGTTTTCGCATGTTTTTTAATATACCCTCCAACAGTTGGAATAACAGGTTCTTCTATTACTCGCTACACCCCTCTACGTTCCGTCCATCCCTTCTTAAGTTTCTTTGCGACACCTCTGCGGTTGTTTGTTTGCCCCTCATGATTGTTGCCTGTCTGCTGTGTATTGACTGAATCATGCATACCATCGGTCCACTGTTTATGCTTCTCATCTTTGACTCACATCATGTATCTCTCCGCTATTTTCACAGTTTGATCAATCAAAGGGTGGTGTATTGGCATATATCATTATACACAACCACCAGCTTGTATCATATCAGATCTGTGTATCTCTATATTTGTATAATATATATATATAACATGTATACATATATATATATATACATATATATATATATTAGGTATATGTGTATTCTATGTATTCATCGGCACCACTTTCCAGGACGATGAGGAGGAGCTCAATCGCCAGAGGGCCACTGCCTTCATGGTGCGGCCTTCGATGTCATGGGCAGAACTGAGTGTATCAATGGTGGTATAGTGGGCATTAATGACTGGGTATACTACCACGAGATATTACCATTCTATATCAGAAATGGGTATATTAATTAAAAAACACTCAGTTCTTCCATATACGCTGATATATGTATACATACATGACATTACAGTACGTTACATTAGATTACATTACATTACATACAGATAGATAGGTAGAAAATAGAGATGTAGCCAACAATCACGGGGATACAGTACCCTCAAATTGTTCTCAGTGTTGGTGAAGTGGGGTGAGTTACCCAGATGTTCCACTGAAATTCCCATCCTGTGTCAAATTGGGCACCTAGAAGCACCAGTACAAAGCTGGACAAAGGCGTGTGATTTCAAATTTGAAGTACAGTGGAACCGTTGCGTAAAGACCAAATGAGGTTTTTTGAGGGCACCCTGGGTTCTTAAGTCATTTAAGGCATGGTTTTTCGGGTCAAGGAATGGCCCATTAGATCATGATCTCCCAAGGTGGGCCATTTCCATGTGCCAAAGAATCAGCACCACGAAGTGGAAAAGGAGTCCCTCTACGGTGCAGCATAGCAGCAATTTGTGGAAAAATTGAATCAGGTAGAGCATCCCATTTTTCACGTCCTCGAAAGTGATTCAAGTGACGACATGGCTGAGTTTCCCACATTCTTTGGTTGGGTCCTTTGGGTCATGTTAGGTCCTTCCCAAATCGGTCAGGCAGTGATCTTGATCCCACAGATTGGGCGCTCCTGCCGCTGGCCGCGCGCCTTAACGTCCCTTGGCCAAGTCACTGGTGAAGTCTGGTGGGGTCTGGGGATCCAATGGAGGCACGTTGTTTTTCGGGGTAAGTGGGCGCAAGTGGTAAACCATCAACTTTCGGACACGAGCTTTGATGGCAAAATGTGGAGAACCCTTGGGTTACTGGTTTGTCCCCAAAATGCCTGGGTTTCGAAATGATCGGGTTATTCTTAGGGAAGTTGAACTGCTGCTGTCAGTTGCATGACAGATGACTCAGCGCTAAGTTTGGACCTTGGACGATTTATGTTTGAATCACGACATACAAAGCCATGTGATGATTGCTGATGATCATGGACATCTGATTCCAGCATTTTACACAGGAAGTGATTGGCCAGTGGACTGTTCTTCATTCAACACGGAGGGTAGGATTTTTTTCCTACCGCCTCTTTGTCAGCTGAGGTTTGTGACGGTTCGAGCGCCTTGGACTTGTAGATTTGGTTCTGGGATTCTTGTATGACCCCAGGGTTCTTATAACAGATATATCCCTGATAAGAAAACAGTTTGTGACTGGGGTTCATACAACCATAGTTTGTTTGAAACAAGTTTAAAAACCACTGGGCCAAATCGCCACCTGAATGATCGACCGCTGAATCCTTCGAATCCTTTGCTGTCCATGAAAGCATCCCGATCCATGACAGGTTTATATGCTTTTCCTGTTGAACTTTGTTCTTCAGCTGCTCGGCCAAAGGCAATAGCTGCAACATGGCTAGAGATCCCAGAAGTCTCAGATGTCGTATCATCCTGTCGTTGAGTTTGCCTACTGATTGTGATACTTGAATCTGTGGCATCACTCTTGAGATTGGAGCCGCATTTAGCAGTTTGTTTTTGTCAACAATCTCTAAGATTGAAACAAATGAGAGGAGAGTGTCAGGCTAGCATTGTGGCATACAGCGTGGTAGCCTATTTGGATTTACTGCTAGCATGATTTACTAGTACCTGGACAAGTAAGGGTGCTCAGCGACTGGTCAGCCAGTGTTTTGACAGCCCTTCATCGCGCCTGCTTGCTGAGATCAATGCTATTGAGCGAGATCGCTCGCGAGCAGAACGTCTTGGATCTGCCGCTGGGCTGGTTTCCATCAAAACAGGGGATGGTTTCCACCGGTCGTATGGTGTACATTGACATATTCTTGGTGAGAGGTGTGGATATGCGTCCAATGAGAATCAGAAGGAAAATCCTACAAAGCAGCAAGAATGGCTAGAATCCCACAAAGTCCCCTTCGAGTAAACTGCAACATCTGCAACATCTGCAACCCCCAAACTTCATCAAACTTCCAAAGACTCCAAAGACCATCGTCAGATATCTCAACTCTCAGCAGATCTCAGCAGATCTCAGCAGCTCTCAGCTCTCAGCGGAGATCTCAGGTTCGCAGGGCAGATGTGGCTCTGTGACTTTGGAGCTCCTTTGGAGGTGACTTGGTACATCTTGGATCATCTTGGTGCACCCACTGCAACCTGAAGAAATTTCTTAGTTCCACGGAGATAACACGCGAGATCTTCTCCAACTCCAACTTCAGATGTTCATTGGTTTCCATTGGTTTCCATTGGTTTCCATTAGTGATTTCTATCCTGATGTGTTGATTATATAATGTAAATATATGATAATATATGTTTCTATCTTGAAAATTTGAATTGTTTGTCCACATTTCTCTCCGTCCTGTCAGGACTGTCCTTCGAGCCCATCCTGCACCGGACCTGGCGGCACGCTGGCGACTCGGGTCTGCATATTTGGCCTGTTGCCTCTGCAATATTCGCCCCCCACGCCATCCATGGCTTGTGACGGTACGGTTGTGATGGTTGTGACGCTTATGAGTCATGTTTTCCAAGCAATTTTGAGGCTACCCAGCTACCCTGCAATTTTGGGGGAATTTTTGGGTGATGTTTCTGAAGCTACCCCCACCTGTTTTTGTTCGGCAGTTGGAATATGATGGAATATGATGGAATATCAATGATTTCGGGTGGCTGTCAGTTCAGCAGCTGTTTGCGGAGGTGGATGGTCCGAGACTGTACGATTTCAAGTCTTGGAGCGGCTCGATCGCAAGAAAACATGGCACATTCAGCAGTCGCGCTGCAATGGCATGTTCATTTGCCATCTGGGAATCATTTTTCTGACTTGGCCAGCATATGGGCATCAGGCAAACCCAAGAGCTCCATGGTCACTCGTGTCAACAATCAAGAGAATCTCCCATTTGTCGAGGACTCATCAGAGGTCTCATCAGCCGATGTCCTGCCCCAAGGTACCCGGAACTTCATGAAAGATTCGCTGAAGAGGTCGGACAATGGGCTGACATGTGGGCAGTGTTGATTAAAAAACGCTTGGAAGTACCAAGAAAGATGCTACTATGGATGGAAGAAATCCTGAAGCAGTTCATAGGTGGTTTATCCATGATTATCCCAAATTATCCCATTATTTTATGGTTTCAACTGTTTCAACATGTTTCAGCTATCCAAGGTGCACGAGTTCTTCCACAGGTTGAGGGCACCTGGACCTGGAACCCGAGGCTCTTTCCCGAGCGTGAGAGTGAAATCGACGAGGAGATCGACCCAGGTGGGACCGAGCTGGTCACTGTTATTTTACTTGTGTTTACTGATTTGTAGGTGAATCATAGTATATAAATGAATGTAAATCATCTAAGAAACTGGGAGAAGACAGCGTAGGCCAAAGCCATTTAATTTGAATGCGAGCATCACTCAATCAAATGAACTCATGTAATGGCGGCACAAAATTAGGCAGATTATTTTTTGTAGCAAATTTGGAGGCACACCCCATCAAGAAAGCGAAGATATGATCCGGAAATTGGAAGGAACGAGAAATGTGCAGGGATGCTACATGGCAAAAACCAAAACTCAGCAGATGTGTAGATTGTAGATCTCAGGGCATTGAAGGATGTAAATCATCAGCTTATTTCCAGATGTTGACCCCTACATCGGAAAAATAGGAGTACCATGGAATCGTAATGATATTTGTGAGAATGATGCAGGGTCCAAAGGATATCACTGTTTTGATGGCTATTCTCACATTCATGTACAACCAGCAACCTTCCATCTTTGAGCAAGGCGAATATGGTGCAGAAAGCCGCATTTGTCGCTGGATCGCTTGTTTCATTTTCATGCTTAGCGCCTTGGCATGCCTGGTCATGTTGCCCATGTTGCCCATGTTGACCATTCTACCAGCTCCATGTTTCAGTGCCCATGGTGTATAGGTGGAATATAGAGGAATTGAATTGTTCTGTTTGAGTTTGGAAGTCAAGCCCTCCTGCAATCACTGTGCGCGGAAGTGCGATCGGTGGGATTCATGGTAGCCAGTCCTGTTTCTGGGCGCAATGATTATGGTTCGACAATGTTCGACATGTCCCAATTTGTACGTGAACTGCCGCCCCTCCCGAGTCTTCAAACGTAAGACCATCAAAGCATGGTGCACTGTAGAACCGAACCTCAATGGGAAATTCGTGACTCGCTTCGGTGTCTCAAACGGCAAGGTATACAAGAAGAGCTTATTTTGATTTGGAGAATGGCGTGCATGTTCCTAAACCGCAATGCATTAGCACTTGGTACGGAAGAGCAGCACCCAGAAGTCACAAAGTTCAAGATAACCATTTACAAGAATCATAGAATCAGAATGATACAAGCAGGAACACCCATCACCACAAATCGATCTAAAATTACTTTTCAATTGGATGGCACATGGCCCAATGTATGTTTGGGAAGAGGTGCTGAGCTTTGCAGCTCAGGCTGTATGATATTCCTACACAATCAGAGTATCTCAGCTGCAATCAACAACCCCAGGGTTGAATGCCACAAAAGATCTGGATTTTTCAGGACATAGCCTGAATACCCGTGACCAAGACAGAACAACATAGAAAATGACTGTTCCAGTTGTGTTCGGTTGAGCAAATGGTTTTGCAAATGCAGCATACGGTGCCCAAATGTGCAATGTTTAGGTCATGGATCGAATTCAAACATCCCGGAGACGACTTGGTGTCTTGGCACATCTTGGCACAACGAGTCACAACTCTGCCAACTCTTCCAACAGCCCACAGTGGACCGAGGTTGGAGACAACTGGTTGGAATATGTGGATGTCACCGTGGCAGGTATGCCATTGAGGCCAAAGAGCTTATGAAGAACCAATCCAAGCAGCTAAGCAGTTGATCCTTGCAGTCTCTGTACATGTCGCAATTGAAGGAACACATGTGGCTGCATCCTGAAAATGTCAGACTATTACATACTATTTTTAAAGATATTGTTTAGTAATTACCTCCAGAATCCAAGATCTGATGCTCAATCTTGGTGAAAGCCTCATGGACCAACTGTTTATCAACAGGTGGAAGATCATCAACGGCATTTTCATCCTTGGAGCGAAGTTCATGCTATGGAAACTTGGTGAGTCAACCTGATCCGGTCTTGGAGTCTTGTCAGTGTCCTAATTTCTATGATGTATTCTTTATGTTTCAATCAAAAGTGTTGAGCAGTTGTATTTTTTCACAAGAATATCACAAGCTGTTGTTTGAGTTCTCTGGAACAGAAACATCGTGTGAATCGTTTTGTTCGGCGTCTCAGGAAGTTGACGGCAGAGGTAGGAATCACCTTTCTCATGGAGACTCAGACCATCTCTGCTGCTGGGACAACTTTATGAAGTCCACGGATTTTATGAACCACGCTGTGGGCGATTGGAGAACTGAGATGTACAGATTTTACAGATATGTCATTGATATGTCTTGTTTTGATGATAGGGGTTACCCGGTGACACCCGGTTACCCTGGAGAGTCCACCACATCAGCATTGAACATGGCTTTTTTGTGCCATCGGCATGGTCAGTTTGTTGATCCTGTGGCTTCCGGTTGGAAAGAATCTATGTTTCTGCTGCAGCCATGAACAGTGGACACTCAAGTGGTTGGGCATGGCCTGGATTTAACACGTGCAAGTACATCTTTCAATATTTTACATATTTGGTTCACACACCAACTACATAACATAGCTTGATGCCCAGTATGTATCCCTCCGAATGTGTACACCTCTATATATTGATATGTGTTTGTCCAAAAACATGGTCCACATATGTCCACATTAACGTTGCAACTTTTGGGTACATGCAGCATACTGTAATACCCATGTCGGGGCAAACCCATATCTGGTATTGAACACCCCTCCAGAAACATTGAGCATTGAAACCATTCATTTTTATATGCAAAATGTTGCAGATGAAACAGAAAGAATGCATACATGCACGGCAACGCCATTTAAATATGTGGGGGGAGGGCCAGACCGCCAGGCACAGGAGGTAGTATAAAGTACCAGTTCGTATATTTAAATGTAGTTACCGTATGTTTAAATGAATTGGATTCCGTATGTTTAAATGGCCGGGCGGGCCAAGGAAAAACCTTCCGGGAGGTAGTCTAAAATACGTGTTCGTATATTTTAAAATCCGTATATTTAAATGTGGTTACCGTAGGTTTAAGATTATTTAAGTATATATTGTACAGTATGTTTGGATATTCATGGTCTACATGGTTTGACGATGTTTGACGTGTGCTGTGTTTCTGTTGAAGCCCAGGACTGCATCGTGAACTCCGTGGCCTTATCCTTCGTGCTCCACATGGATGAGCCACTCAGCCGAGGGGATGCATTTTTGTTATGTCCACTGAGTCCACTGTTAGTGGAGAAAATGCCCAATGAAAGTGACATGATTTGAAAACCAAGATTCATGGGCTTAGCCTGTCATGGAGTAGATTCGATGATGTTTGGGGCGAAAAGTGCTGGCAACGTCAATGAATCGAGAAATCCGGACATGGACCTAAACCATTTGGTGCCCGAAAGTATTGATGCTCAACTGCAGCTGAACGTTCAGTGACTGCACTAGTTAGGAGTCTACTTGATTTGTTGTTCATGGTGGTCAAATAAGACTGTGAAACCTCTTTAACCCCCTGGTTGACGGGGATTTTGAAAGGGATTCTTTGATACCTCTGGATGTCACCGAATTTCACCCAGAATTCTAAGAGTATTTCCCGAAGCTTCCGCGACCTGAGGCTCATCCTGATGACTTTGACCTCCGGGAAGATCACTTCGTGTCTGGAGAAGTGTAATCAATACAGCGCCTTGGACACTGCTGATGCATGTCGTCTTCGGGGCTGTCAATTTTTGGAACACCCATGTCAAACCAGTCTACTCATCCGTCAACTCATTGTACCCACCACTCCCATTTTGGAAAACATACCTGTGTTATCCTGTGTTTCTGGTTGTATCACTTTCATTGTTCGTGATCATACCTTTCGCAGCAGATGACTCCAGCATTGTGGTTTTATCCCCATTTTTAGTGTTTGATCTCCCTTGGTAGTCTTGTTTGTGATATATTTGACAAACGCAAATAGTTTCCTAGCCTTCCTAGCCCTACCAAAAGGTACTTGTTGCATTCCATCGAACTGCGTCCAGTTTATCCACTGCATCGTTCCGTTCATCAAGTCCTGCTCCGCAATAAAAAGTAACAGTTCGGTTAGAAACCGCAGTGTTCATATGATTTTGTTGTCGAGCATCCTGCTTTATCTATGCATGTCAATTGGTCGTCAATGTATTTATGTAGTATGTGGCTAGATGTGTATTCGCGTATCTCTCTCAGTATATTCATATACACTTTCTATATAGTTGATGTATATTATATATATAGGTATATATAGGTATGTATTTATTTATGTATGTATGTAAATATATATATATATTCAATCAAAATCAGATTGGTAGATTTCTCTGCATTCCATAAGCAATGATCCAAAGATTGACCTTTGGCAATTTTCGTTATCGTTATATGGACTGAGGTCCAGCAGAAACAACCTCGGTAGCCTGGCAATCCCGCATTGAGCACCTCGGTTTCTGTGATGGGGCGAAGCTTTACCGGTTTTGATATCTTTTGATTTCAGATGGTTTTGGAATGCTGGGTGATTCCGGAGATATTTTTTGCTGGTTTGGGATTAGATGAAGTTGAATACGCCAGGAAATGGAGATTGAACAAACCACAAGTGGTGGTTTGACCAACAGAAATGAGGATATGAGCGAGGCAGCAAAAAGGGGTTTTAGAGTTAGAAAAATTGGAGGCCATGGATTAAAAGTTCTATCAGCAACCATGAGTTGAGACTCGATAAATGTGAGAGTTTACTGGCAATCCCGGTGCTCAGAGAGCCTGAGGAAACATAACAACAGCCGTAGATATCACCACCCCAATGAGGTGAGTGAAACAAAAAAAACACGGACTGCCAGCAATGATTTTGGGGAGACAGAGAAGGATTTGGACACTTTGGACAGCCGTAAAGATTTGGACCACGAGAGATTTTGTTTGCCAAACTACTCAGGAAACCTATTGACAATTCCTTTTTCGCAAATATCCAGTGGCTTGGGCAGATTCAAATCCGTTCTGCTGAGTACCATCACGTTTTGGCAAAAAACATCGAAGAGTGCGGCCAAAACCACAATTGAAATTTGCTGCGCTATAATCTGCTATATTCTATAAAACTTTACTGTATGGAATTTGACGTGTGGATGTAGAGTTGTCCTGACAGGTTTAAAAAAAAGCTGGTGAACGGATGCTGACAAAGTGGATGTTCATTGCTCAAACTCCGGTAGAGATTGTCATTCCTCCTGTTCCCATATCACCATATATCACATCATAATCATCATATAATGATCATAGTCATGGTATGTCATGGTATGTCATGGCAATCATGGCATGTCATTGCCTGCAGAGGGATGCACGAGGCTAGGCATCCCCTGGGAGTTGATGGCTTCATTGCTGCTATGCGCCTTCTTCATCAGGTGCCGCCCTTTGGGCATTGGGAAAAAGAGAAGGGGCATGGCGGCGTAGAATGAACCACTGATGGGGACACGAACAAAAATGAAGATATATAGCCTGTAGAGACCTGTGATTTTCTTTGATTTCTGAGCTATAAAAGATATAAAAGAGGAGGACATGATTGGGTCATGCTCGACATTGAGAAATACAGTTTGCATCTGAGACATGAAATTTGGCACTTCACCACCCCGCTTCTTTTCTGACAGAGCACGTGTTTCCATCGCGGTACCGTGCCCAGGGACTACTATACCACCCATTGTGACTGGACTTGGGATGGTTGGTGGTACTACTCCAAGCCACTCTTCGACACTTGGCAATATACAGTTGACTTTCTGGAAGAAGCAGAGGGGTAGCAGGGTACTGAGTATTTCGACAAATTGGAAACTCCAATCTGTCGGAGCAATCTTTTTGGGAAGGCTAAAAAATGTTCATCCGATGTTTGAAATTGAATTCAGCCTGCGAAAAGAACGAATGGATGGGTATCAGTGGACCTGCCCAGTTCATGTGCAACGCTCCTACAGCCTTTTTTGCTTATTTTTGCTTCTAGTTGAAACCTGTTCTTTCCGGAGCCATGGCATATTTCCTTACCTTAGTTGCCGCGCTTCTCGCAGTTCCATCCATGGCTCTGCCAATCGAAGAGTCGGACAAGGACATGCTTTATTGCAACTTCCCCGTGGAGCTCAGCAATCTGCAGAGTTACCTCAACCCCAAGCTGCAGCCGGAGCTCTACGATGGCAAGGCTTGGGTAACTGCCATGATTTTTGAGGTCGCGTCTCTAAAGCTCCAGACGCCACTGGGAAAGATCCCACTGGGAGGTGGCTCGGAGCTCTTTAAGCTCACCACCAATGTGGTACGGAACCAGACAGGCGACAAAGGTTACCTTTTGATGAACTTAGACTTCCCAAGCAGCGCCCAGGGCTGGGTTCAAAAGATGGGTTGTAGTGCTACCCAGCCAGGAGTGCAGTGTGGTGCCAGCACTGCAGACCTTGAAAAGAGCGGCTCTGCACATCTAACATCCTACGATCAGGTCACTTTTGATGTGGATTTTCAGGTGACCAGTGAGCATGAAGACTCCAAATTTCTTCAATATGTGATCAACCGGCCATATAAAGCCCTACAGGACGGCCCCCGTGGCGTGGTGCGCATGGCTCACCAGGAGGGTAAAGCCGCAGCCAGCAACTACCAGGGCTACCGCATCAAGGTGCGGTCCTTGGTGAGTTCGGTCTTCGCCAAGCGATGGCCCAGCCTCAAAGTGGAGGAAACCGTCACCGCCGCTCGCTGTTTCTGGGCCAACCAACTGGTGTTTGTGGACCACGATGGCGAGAAAATTTGAAGTGACAGTTTACAGAGTTTACAGTTGACAGTTTCACTCCAACTTAGTGATCAACAGCTTGAGCTACGTGCTCAAGGGAGCGCGACGTTCAGAAGCCAAGGAAAATGAGATTTAGAATGATGCAACCTGTACAAGTTCACCCTATCTCATGCCATACCCTCTATCAAAGTCAATCAATACAGGCATAATCGATGAACACAACATCCCAATTGGAAGATCAAGAAACTTTATATTGGGTTTCTGCAGTTTCCCCTTTCAAAAGGGTCAACAAGCTTCTGAATTGTGTGGCACTGGGATGGGACTCGTAGGGATGATTTGTTGTCTTGTTTCTTTGGAATGTCTGTCTGTAATTAATTAATTAATTAATTGCATATTTGATGTAGTGACTGTAGTTACTTGTGCTGTAAGTAGGAGGATCACTCCTTAGATTGTGGGATGTTGTGGGTCAAAGGCATACCGCCCTTTGTTCACTCGTAGTGTTGGTCAATGGTGGGCTTTTTTTGCGGTGCCCAGGTGCCAACGACAACAGCCTATCCGCTCTGGAGGGCGTTCCTGCCAGATATATTTCCAGTACCTAGCAACTTGGCATATGGCTCTCAGCTCAACGACCAAGCTGATTGCAGGATGATTCTGGAAAAGGAAACTGGATCATGTCAGGAGAAATGGCACAAGATTTCAAATCAGTGATCAATTGAAATTCGAAGGTCAGCCAAACTGTGAGCAGGATTGGTGGTTTTGTTGAGATGAAGCCCTAAACTCACCATAGTCCCATATGTGACAACAAAACCCCTGATCTTTGGGTGGTATATTGCTACATATTGCTGCATATTGCTACCATTGTTGTTAGGGATTTCGGAATCGGCCCAGCTCAGCCCAGCCCATCGGCCCATCGGCCAAGGTCAAAGCACCAGCAGTTGGACAATGCCTGGGATTTGGCACGCCTAAAGATGGGGCACCTCGGAAATCCTCGGAATATCGATATCTGTTTTTACCCTTCGCAGCCAACCCGTGGGTTGTTGTGGTTGCTTGCTATCCAAATATGACAATATGATGTGTTCTTCTTGACAACTTGGAACCTTTCAGAGAGAGAGAGAGAGAACGTTTGTTGGGTAATGCCTTTGAATCATTTTGAATCCCTGTCAGCTACAAAGTTTGCAGAGCTTCGCTGATTGCCTCATTAATTGACGACGATCATGCCTCATGTCTTGTGGGCACCAAGGCGATTGGCTGCGGAGAAAAGGGCACCAGGGTCCCAGGGTTCTGGTTGAATGTCTTTTGGTGATACAGCCCAAAAAGCATTGATGGTGAACTTCTGGCCATGGAAACAAGCAGAAAGTTCAGTCAGTTATTTATGCCATTTATCCATTAGTCTTCCATTAGTCCTTCGGCAGAATAATTGCGGAAAATCTGGGAAGCATTTAGGAAACCTCATGTTTGGGACTCCAGGTACTGCGTACACACCAAAGCCATATTTCTTGAACTGAGAAAGAGTCAACACGGAGACATCACAAGAAACAGCAGAAGATCCGACCATTTTGTCTCTCAACACTGACAGTCACTCACAGTCACTCATTTCGATCATATCTCAACGTGATCGAAACGATCGAAACTGTGCTGCTCCTCATCCTTTGAATTTTCGGGCGTCACCATGAAGCGCCCCGCCTCCGCCATGTTGGAACCTATGGTGAAGAAAGCCAAGCGTGTGGGTCTCTTGGCATATCAACGAACCGGTGACCATGTTTGGATTCATCCAATGCTTGAGGAAAACCCGGGAAGTGGCTGGAAATGGTCAGCCAAGGCACCACATTGCCCTTCACCAAGGGCCCCCTGCCGATGAATGCCACTGTGAGACGCACTGATGCCACTTGGATGATAGATGGATGATACAAAATGATGAGAAGCATACAGATGATGAGTATGATGAGGATCATGACGAGCATGATGAGCATGACGAGCATGACGAGCATGATGATCGTGATGTGGCAAAGCTCATCAGTTGACACCAAAGTCGCTGGAATTGAAGGTATCCAGTGAGTGCTGTGAGTTTCTCGTCTCTTCCCTCAACGCCAAATGACCATGGTCGATCTAGATTCAGCCATTGGTCCGGAATATACAAGTGGATTGACAAAGATAGATGAATAAACAACTTCAAGATAATTTGAATTGAATTGATTCAAAGTCAAAACGGTTCCTGTGGCATCAACATGGTAGCAGGCTGAATCGACACCGAAACGACACCAGGTGACCTCGCCAGCTGCGTACATGGACAAGCGCAGCGAAGCTCGGCGGGTGAGCAGTGACAAGCAGGTGCGAAAACCGAACATCTAATATTGATTAATTCATTATATAATAACCAATCAAATAGGAATTATAATGATACAAGTGCTATAGGCAACAACTGACTATCAGAATCTATCATGATCATTCATGATCTATCTTTTCAATTGCTGGCCCCAAATCCACCCAAGTGTTTCAAGCAGTGGACAGTTTCTGAAACACCCAGGACCAGTGCGATGGACTCACAGTGAAGGAGTGCCTTCAATTGAAGCTGCTTGGACGGACTGGTTGGAATTTCTGGAATTGGCCGGAGTAAAGTCATTTGAGTCATTTGAGTCAGTTGCATGATTTGTTGTCAAACATAGTACTCGTATGAGCTTTGAAGCCGCCTTTTTGCGACCAAATCATGATGCCGGTTTCCAGCTTGCCGAAGAGGTTCAAGAACAAGGAGGGTGAGAAAACAAACTACAAACAGAGCACCTTGGCATCCCAGATGAAAGATGTGACCTGCTGTATGCCTTGGTTGGGATCGGTCAGTGAGACATGAAAGATATGAAAGATGCATCTGATGCATCACCACTTCATGCCGTCATGCCAAAGCAGCGATTGAATGATTGGCAGCGATGCATCTTCCACTGGTGTTGTTTTCAAACAGGATCGTCAGGATCATGGGATCATGTTTCATCTAAAGCACGTCTATCTCACTATCCATACGCCAAGCGAGTAGGTACATTAGGTACACATTGAAGCCTATTTGACACCTCTAGATTTGGCGAAAATCACAATTTACTGCAAGTTTGATGCAACAATGCAACTCCAGTGATTTGCAAAGCCATCAGATTCACTCGTGGCGCACAGCAGCACAGTGTCCAGGCGACCTTCGCTATGACCTACAAGCCAATCGCTTGGAGCTGCTGGCAGCCGAGGAACCGCTGTGCGTTCAGAGCTAACCCCCTCCACCTGTCGTGGCCACTGGTGGCAGTTCTTGGTAACTCATGGGTAACTCATGGTTCATGACTTGAGTCATGACTTGAGTCATGATTTGTTTCTCTTGTGAAACACAACTGGATATGATCGGAGTCAAACATCATGGTAACATGATGATGGTGATGGGAACATGAACATACATTACCACTTCTGGTTCGTCAGATGTTTGCCGTGGGGCAGAACACATATCAAACCACGTCGCAGGAGGCGCCAAAGCTGCCTCCAAGCAGCTTGGTAAAGGCAACTGAGATGCATTTGAGTTTCTCCATCGACCGGGAAAATGCGTTTGAAATTGGGCCCCGTTCTCTGTTTTTTCGAGGGTTCCCCTGCTTTCCTCTGCTCGGATAGATCATTTTGGTGGATTTCAGGGTTGCTCGAGCACCTGAAACGCCTCACCTGTTGGCTCAAGCTGTGTGTTTTGCACCGGAGAATATAGATGCTTGCTTGTTGCCTCACGGAGACGCTTGCCATGGCTGGCCAAAGTGAAGTCAGTTTCGAGCAGGATGTCACCATCAAGGCGAAGTGCTGCTTCGAAACACACTATGACTATGATGACTATGACTGCAATTCGTGAAGTCCAATGCAATCCAATGAAATCTAATGAATCTAATGAAATCTAATGACATTTGATCAACCTTTGCCGTTTCCGGCGAAGCTGTTCATGAAACAGTTTCGACATGATTGGACTACAGCCATGGTGGATCTCTTTAAAGTGCTGGATGCTCGACTGACTCAAGACATGTTCCCACACGGAGATCTTTCTTTCAGCGATCGTTCCACAAAGTTCATCTTGGAGAAACCTGGTGCGGTGAACATCGAACGGGATAACAAAGTCATCACCTCAAAGTAGCTGATCTGAGGCATTATGAGGCTGATAATCACTCATCTCTTCCAAAATCTGCCATATTCCATCATATTCCCAATTGTTTCTCCAAAATCCCAAGAAATTTCACCGTTCGTCAAGTTCGTCGACCAGGTGGTGTACCTCAGCGGAGAGCTGGGAGCTGAAGTTTCCGTTCCTGGCAGCATCACAGGCGATGGAAAGATGTGAATTGGGTAAATTTGGGTAAAATAATCGCACTTGGGGTGAGTTTCCGTGCCCTCTACGTGTGTCCACACTTTCAACGACAAAAAAGAACGTGCCAATCAAACTTCAAAAATGCTAGGATGCAGACGCTATATTCCCAATTCTTGGTTCAAATTCCGTTTGTTCCAGCAGACCAAAATTCTGCAGCAGCTGACTGCTGTTGCTTCCATTGACGGCCCAGGTCGCGAGCTGTGCCGTCAGCTGTTGCACTACCTTCCGGTTGCATCATCTGTCGCATTTCAGCACAGAGATTCCCCAGTGTTGTTGAACCAGACCTTGTTGCAGCAGGGCATTGTTGGAGAGGTGACCCTGTCCTGTGTCTACCTACCTTTGAATCTCCAGGCTGCATGGCAAGTGCTCAGAGGTTCTCCACTTGAAATCTCACTGGAAGGAATCACTCAGTTGGATGGCATAGAAGGTGCCACTGATTTGCGCGTGCTACCAGAGAGTCTTGAGGTATTAACTTTCGGTGATTCTTTCAACCAGCCCTTGGGCCCTGCAGATTTGCCGAGTGGTCTCAAAAGCTTGGAATTTGGAGATAGGTTCAACCAACCTTTGGATCAAGTGACCTTGCCCACCAACCTACGGAGCTTGACTTTGGGTTTCGAATTTAATCAGAAATTACAAGACGTTCATTGGCCAAGTGGCCTCCAAAGCCTGACTTTGGGCGGTTCCTTCAACCAGAGCTTGGAAGAGGTAAGGTTGCCCAGTAGTCTTCAGAGTTTGAAATTTGGTTACAAGTTCAATCAAAGTTTGGATCAAGTGACGTTACCTGGTGAACTTCAGGAATTGACCTTGGGCGATGAGTTCAAACAAAGCTTAGATGCGGTGATGTTGCCCGGCTGTTTACAGAGCTTGGCCTTTGGAGAGGAATTCAATTACAGCTTGGATCGAGTCCAGCTGCCAGAGGGTCTCAAGAGACTCTCCCTGGGCTATTCCTTTGATCAATCTTTGGACCATGTGAATTGGCCCAGCGGCCTCCAGACTTTGGAGTTGGGCTGCGACTTTGATCAGCCGATGGACAGGGTGAAGTTGCCCAGCAGCCTGAAGAAATTGACTTTTGGTTTCTATTTCAACCAGGCCATGGATCGTGTGAAACTGCCAGAGGGGCTTCAGAGTCTGACTTTTGGCTACCATTTCAACCAGAGTTTGGCCAGGGTTCAGTTGCCAACCGGCCTTCAGAGCTTGGCTTTAGGAGAAAAATTCCGCCAACCATTTGACCACAGTTGGCCATGTCTTTCCAGAGCAGTGGTCTTTTCTGAATCGCTGAATTCGTTGAATCAGACTTTGCGTCCGAGGATTTTGTCGCCCCAGCTTCAACATCTGACAATTACTGGTGGCTTCATCCAAAACTTGGGCGAAATTTTGCCAAGGAGCCTTGAGACTTTGACCCTGGGCGATGGCTTCAACCAGAGCTTGGATGGGATCGATCTGCCGGATCTACAGAGCTTGACTTTTGGCTTCGATTTCAACCAAAGCTTGGATCAGACTGCTTTCCCACATTCCCTAAGGAGTTTGACATTTGGTTATTGGTTTGATCAACCTATGGAGATCATTCTACCGAACAGCTTGGAAGCCTTGACATTTGGTGCTAGGTTCAACCACAGCTTGGATAACACAAAGTTGCCGAGTGGTTTGAAGAGTTTGGAGTTTGGTCTGTTCTTTAATCAGTCAGTAGATCAGCTGCATCTCCCCAGTGGCCTGGAAAGCTTGAGATTTGGGCAGAATTTCAACCAGTCTTTGGATCGGTTGATCCTGCCAGATCAACTTCAGAGCTTGGATTTTAGTATCCATTTCAATCAGACTTTGGAGAAGGTGAAGCTGCCCAGTGGCCTGAAGAAAATGGCCTTGGGCGTTCAGCAAGGTACCATCGAGTGCATCAATCTCCAAGAGTTTTATTGCGGAGGGCTGTTGGTGAGTTCGCGCCCCAAAGAATGAAACCTTCGACTCCACTTGGCCCAAAAAGTCCGCGGATCAAAAGTTGTCAAGGCCCGCTGACACACCATGGTTGGTCATGTTCCCAAGGAGTGATCTGTTTCAGTTTTCGAAGGACTGAAGAACCTTTCCAGTTTTAGAGACTTGATTTGTACCCACCCCTCAGTAGCCAAGCATTTGACCTGTTTTGTTTTTTTTGAATCATAATTCATCCGTGCTAAAACAATGAAAATGTATAAAAATGTATAAAATGTATAAAATGTCATGTATAAACACATTAAAAAAAAAACATTTAAACACATTTAAACACCAAGGTGAAACATCGGTGAAACATGTTGACACACCGAGGTGAAACATCCCTCCGGCGCCCAGTCCTTGGCCAACGGCGTGGCCTTGCACAACGGCGTGGTGATGCTACTGGGACGGGAAATCATTGGGAGGTGCTCTGAGGTGCTCCACATTGGAGCATTGTTAAAGCAATGGTTGAAGCATTGTCGGAGTAGATACCTGACTATGCAGGGCATACCTCCAGAGGTTTTCATGGAAAGGTGGTATTTTTTCTCCTGTTTGTTTTCCGGAAAGGTGGGATCACCGGAATCGAGGAAAAAAACCATCAGTCAAGGTAGGTTGAGGCAGGAAACCTTGCTCGCTGATCTACCGAGGCCGGTGGTTGGCTTTGGATCCTTGGTCGAAATCGAGCGCTTTTAGATTGGAAGATTCAGCCCTCAAAACTTGGAGAAAATAAAGGGAAGATTGGACAGAAGCATGTCCCTGAAATGGTTGCTGGTCGAAGGTTGCATAGAGAGTGGCAATTCGTGTTGCGAAAAGACTTGTTGGATGTTGTTTACACAAAGGAACACTGAGCCCCAGGTTTTTGTACCGAAACACTTCTTGTTTTCCTTGTTTTCAGTGTAACCAACTATACCAACTCACCCAGGACCTTGGACAATGCGACACGTATCGACACGTCCCAAGGCACCTACAAGCTCTCCAACGCCGATGTGACGAAGCCCGTGTTGAACGCCTTGCAGCAGGGCTATCGCTTGATCGACACTGCGCAGGTGCCATCAGCGACGTCAGCGGCTGTGTTTGTGTGCGCTGTGTGTTGGGTGTGTTCTCAACATGACTATCATGACTTGTGTGTCGTGGCAGCCGTGGCGCCTCCTGAAAGGTCTACGAGAATGAGAAGGGTGTTGGCCTCTCTGTCTGCATAGCACCATCACTGGATAGCAAACTATACATTGGTGAGGCAATCAGCAATAGAGTAAGGGTCTGAAACTTTGATTCTTCCCTCAACTCACCCTTGCAAAGTTAGTTGTTGGAGACGCGTACAAGTCTCTGCGTTTTGGTGCTTTGATGGTGAGTTTTGCATCAGTCACTTAAGCTGGCATGATGCCAATAGTTGTTTTAGTTGGTTTTAGTTGAGGTTTAGGCACACCTCAGGTACTTCCGTTAGATTTAGTTTCTCCAGCCATGACTCCTGTCATTGGCTTCAGGTGATGCCATTCGACAGAGTGGCCTCGCGCGTGGAGATGTCTTCATTGAGACGAAGGTTTGGCGTTCCAGCCACGGCTATGAGAGGACCATCAAGGTGCGACTTGTGGCAAAGAATCCTTGGGCACAGCAGGACAGAGAGAAGATATGAAAATATATTTGGGTAGGGGTCAAATGGATTCAAATGGATCCAGGATCAAGATGCATCCCAACCAACTTGGAAATTTCAACCCATACCCTCTTGATGGTCTCCGTTCCATCAATTCGGATGGCCCTGTCCAAATTGGCCAAAGGCCTGCAAGCAATCCTTGAAGAAGCTGGGGGTTGACTACTTGGACCTCTATGTGATTCATTGGCCTGGACCGAAGACCGGCTGGCCGCTGAAGAAAGGTGGGGTAGCAGGCATCAACTTATCACCTGTCTCTATGGTTGCATGTTTACATGAGACACGCTTGAAATTGATACAACTCATCAAGCAACCTCTTTGGTATATGCATTCGTCACTTGAATGTGTGTTTTCCTTTTTTCTGATACTTTCATCATGGTTTCTTTTCCCCAAATTTTATCCAACATCCATCAAAATTCATCAACATCCATCGATATCCATCAACATGTCTAGCATATTTGGTGGAATCCTTACTCCTCTGCCAGGTACGGTGTGTCCTCCGGATTGGACTCCCAAGATGCGTGACACGGGCACCTGGCGTGCCATGGAAGAGTTGTATGAACAGGGCCTGGTGAAGGCTTGGAACCGGGGGCGACCTCCTCTGAAAGAAATTGAAAGAAACAATTTGAGAATTTTGGGTATCTTAATGTCTTAATATATCTGAATACAGTTTAATGATGTTTAATGAATCTTATGTGACTGATGTGTCATTTCTGGTTGATATGCGTGTGTTTTTAAAGGTAGTGTTCCACTAGCTGCAAGTGCATATTATGTTTTGCACCCAGCTGACAGTGATTCTCAAAAATTCCAGGATAATGACAACCATTGATTTCAATCTACTTGAATGTGCTACATTTGCTGGAATATCCATCCATTGGATTTCCTCTATCGCACAGTCTATCCATATCCATGTTTATCCATCCGGATAAATTCCTTATCATGTCCCCATCATGCATATCATTCGTACCCATACATCCCACATAATCATAATCATAACAATAATAATCATCATAACAATAATGATAATCATAATAATAATGATAATAATAATAATAGTAATAATATGTATGGTGTATATGGTGTATGTATATTTATATATATATATATGTGTGTACGATAGATATTCCGTCTCTCTATACATGTTATCATATCCCCTGCCCGTCTCACCAGGCCATTGGTGTGACCAACTATTCCTTGCGGCACCTGAAGCAGCTGATGAAGACCTGCAAGATCAAGCGGCTCGGATCTGCGTGGGCTATGGGAGCCTGGTGAATAAGAACCTAGATTCGGAAAGAAAATGAACGACAAATGAACCAGAAACCCTGAGATTTTAGGAGTAAAACACGTTGAAAATATAGAAACCATGATTTACCTGTGGAGTTTCTCTTAGACCAAGCAAAACGATTGAAGGGGCAAGGTTATATCCAAAAAAGGTCGTTTCAACCAAGGAATAACGATATTATCGGAACGAGTGTTGAGTGTTGGTCAATGGATCTTGACCCAATAGACTGTTCATTTCTTTGAATCGATCTGAGCGATTTGTCAATTGTAGGTGTGGAATGGGTGCAATGGTTCGAGCGGCACAAGGAAAAACGTCAGATCTCAAGTGAAGTGTTTGAAGAAACTTCCTTTGAAACTTCGTTTGTTTGCAGGCTGTACCGCTGTACCGCTGTACCTTCCTTTTCCTTTTCTGTTCTAAACGGAGCAAACCGTTGGATCCCGCAGCTCGATCCAGACCTGAGGCCCATGATTAACCAGGTGGAGTTTCACCCACGCCTGGTGCAGACAGAGATGTTGGACACTTGACCTGCAGCTCTCAACGGTGAATGAAATCAATGAAATCGTTGCCGGTTTGTTCCACACAGGCAACAGCGTATCCCAAGTAGATCATCTTCACAAGAATGGTTCAAATGCGGGATAACCATCATCAAGTCGCATAGGAAACATCCCCTTCAACAGAGTTTCAAAACACAGAATCAAACAAGGCGTTGTCATGTTGATAGAGCAGTAGGCAGAACCCAAATGTGCATTTTGCTCCCGTTGCGGGAACCTAAGGAGTTTTGCCAGAAGAATGGCATCGTTCTCCAAGCATATGCATCTTTGGGATCTGGCGATGCAAAACAGGCCCAGCTGGAAGGATGGAGATGAAGACAGCTTCGTAGCTGTAGGAAACCATCTACCAGGAATCTACCAAGGAGGAAACATACAGTGATCACTAATTACTTAACCTTTAGAATACCTCAAGGTATTTTTTTCTTGTAAGGATATCCAGTTGGTGTGAAAAAGGTATTTTTCGCATTTTCACCCCAGGCTAGATGAAGAGCCTGTTCGTTTGTTGGCACTTCAAACCAGCTCTCTGAGGATTCATCCCCCAGCTGGAAGCTGTTGAATCAGCATTTTTCGATCTGGATGGGTCAGATGGGGTTGGATTTCTGGTCACTTCCCGAAAAGGCTGAGGATTTCTTCTCCTTCCCAGCAGTGAAGAAAGCAGCCACAGCTCATAAGGTCACCAGTGCACAGGCGCGGGTGGAACGTGAAGGTGCATGTTTTTCTGTGGTTGTTTTTCAGTTTGTGTGGACCCAAAGGATTTGGTTGGAGTTTCATAAGTTTCGTTGTTAGTGAAATCTGTTTTTTAAGTGCTGAATTCTGCGGTGTTACCTTTTATCCGTTTTAACCCCAGGTCCTGCTGCGTTGGGCGATGCAGAAAGGCTGTCCCCAAGCTGTAAGATGGAGCTGTTTTGGAGTTTTGAAGCGAAAAAATGCCAAAAGTCATTGAAACTCCGCACTTTGCCAAGGTCACGTGATTCCCAAGTCGGTGCGTCCCGAACGGATGAAGGAAAATGCTGGAGTCTTCAATTTCAAACTGCCACTTGGCACAACTGACAACTGTGATTCTGTGTGATTCTGGTCAACGCTACTGCTTTTAATTGTTTGAATTGTTTGAATCATTGGGAAGCTCCAGCACAGTAGGATACATTGGAGGCGAAGTTATTTTTCCCCCCCCCTCCCTCCCCCTCCCCCTCCCCTCCCCTCCCTCCCCCTCCCCCCAGATCCCACCTAAATCCAAACACTTGGTGATCCAGATGGTATCGACAAGGCTGAGAGATGATCCAAAATTGCTTGTGAGATAACCATGGGATAACCATGGCCACTACATGTTCATCAGTTTTCATCCTGTCGGCAAGTTTGGATGGCACCATCAGGCACTCGTTGCCAAACGGAGTGAACCAAGGACTGCAGCAGAGATGAAAGCCATCGATGAATTGCCGCTCGGATTTTGTGAATGTCGGACCTGTACTAGATTAGAGTGATTAGAGTAGTTAGAGATTCAGGTGTAAGACCATGTTGAATCCGCTGGTTTGAGAGATGCCCATGAAGGGCTCCTATGGCTTTGGTTAAGGAGGTCCGCATGTCCACCTTGGCTTTTCAGAGTTTGAAACAGTTGAAGGGGTTGAAAGCACGCCATTCCATGCAAATCGTCAATGACGGTACTATCATGACAAATGGGGGTTTCTCATGCATCCGCAGTACCGGTCAGTGGGTCACCGTGTTTCTCACACCTCAAACCTCCTTGGAGTGTTCCCCACTCGGTGACTGCTTCAATGTGAGGCACAGTGGCACACGATATGCTTGGAAGGGCGTGGATCCCGACACCGTGCAGTGAGGGCGTGAGCAAACTGCTGGCGATTCATAGATGGTTCAGAGTTGTTTATTCCGAACCATCCAAATTGGATCAGAAATTTCGGCTGTTTGGCAGCCAAAGTGGCCAAAAACTTCGCTGCAGCACAGCTGCCTTGACTTGGATGTTTCTTTCACAACTCAGAGATCACTCTTGATTGTCATACCCACTATTGTTGGTTCTGCCCCATTGTTGGTTTTACCCCACCACTTTCAGTTGGTACCAAGTGATACTGAGATCAACTGAGACCCCCAATTTCTACCGTTACGACATGTTACCGCGTCATTTTGAGCTGTGCTGCCTGTGCTGTGTTTGGAAGGCATGGCCATGAGGCGGGACGCGCCTCTTCAGCGATGCGCATCGGATATTTGGATAGATTTTAGCGAATCTCCAACGATGCAAATGAAGGCCTCTATGAGACTCTATGACTTATATGATACATCATCCCAAAAATGTGGTTTGATCAGATTTGTGAAGTTTGAGCTTGAGATATTGAGCTGCATGGGATCACATGTACATCCACTCGAATGCTGTTCCATTTGACAGAAGACTTGTAGAATGACATTCGGCCAGGATTAAAATCAAAGAGACAATGCCATAAATCTGTGTTCCTTTGGTGTTGGAAACTGGCATATGATGTGGAATGCGGATTGCTCAATAGGCCTGTCTACAATCCATGCGGAAGTGTTCACTGCAATGCAGTGGTTCTCATCGTGTCGTGGGGTTTGGCACACCTGCGCAATGTGTCGGCTGGTTCGCCAGTCAGCTGAGCAGGTGTGCAAACTTGGGAAAGAGCTAGAGGAAACAAGTTTTGCATCAGCTGTGTTGCCCTATGTTGCCTTCTTAATAGTCCAACCAGGATGCAACACACTTCGATGTGCCACACCCTGATTTCCTGCACGAGTTTCAGCTCAAGGGTTGCGCCCCCAGGAAGGCGTCAAGTAGACAGACAGTACCAACAGCACAAGTAGCACTCAAGAGCTGCTGCAGCACGCCAGGATTGCAACAGATTTTTCTGCATTGCGTTGAACGGTTCACAGTCGAATCCTTCTCCAGTGGTTTTCCTCCTGAACTCTTCCTGCACCATGCCGCACTTGAGTGCGCCTGTCTTATCTGCAGCCTGCAACGAGGCAGGGCACACAGCCCTCCTGGTGGTGCTAGGGGGTGCTAAAGACACAGGGAATAGCTGACAGTCAGAAATGACGGGATCTTTTGGTGGGGCTGATTTCGGGTCGTGAGTAAAAGCAAGATAAGCAAGAAAAAGTGGCACTGTTTTTCCCAGTCTTTGAAGGTCAGGGATTGATCGGACAGGTGCCAAAGCCAATCCTCTTCGCTGCTGCACCGCCCAAGTGGATAAGTGGCTCAGCTGGGATACAGAGTCCACAATGGTGGTAATTCCTCAGGGTTCGAAAATGCAGGGATGTGGCACCAAAGAACAGCCATGCTAGGAACAGTCCTCAGGATCTTGAAAGAACGTTGTATTTTTTTGATCACAGGACCCAATAGCGATGTTGGACCAAAACAGTGACAGCTGCTAGCTTCACTCACCCGCAGATTGGCTATTCCCGTCGGGCAAGGACTTTCACAGTAGCTTCAATAGCTTGATATAGCTTCTGTCCTTGAGGTTGGAATGTGTTGCGGAATAAATATGTATTCATACTTTGGTACATCATAAAGATTTGGGGTGTCCCCGAAATCCTCCTGTTCATGGTGCGTTTGAGTAGGGCTCATCAATGGTTGGGGGCCACGCAAGTGTGAACCAAAAGTAAGGTGGAACTGCTGCGTGCAGCTCCTTCTTTGCTCAGCAAGCTTCTTGGCAGAAATTTCCATCATGTTGAAGCAGTTTTGGAGAGATCCTCGATGTTCACAGGGTTTATTTACTCAAGTATTGGTTGGTTGCTGAGTACGGTAACTCAAGATGACTCAAGTGCTCAGTACAGCCCAACCATCTAAGATTCCTGTCCCGGGACTGTCAAATGGTCGTTTTCCATGTTTCGAATCCCCAAAATTGGCCTCGGCCGCCAGAGAGACCATGGCCTTCATGGCCATGGCCATGGATGGCCAGAGAGACCCAGACTCCCCAAGGTGCCTGACCTTGCGCCGCTTGCGAAGCTTGCGCCGCTTGCGCCAGTGTGCCTGCGACGCAGTGGGGAATTTCTGGAGGCGCTGCAAAATTTGATCCGACTGAGACTGCTGGCTGTTGCTCAAATGCCTCCTGTGATACACGTCCATCACACATCCATCACACATACACATGCACATCAATAATTGACAAATTTTGTGACATTGATGTGAGAATGATTCACATGATTCATGTACATGCTTACACATCCATCTGTTGGAACGCTGAGAACATCCATTTTTCTTCCAGGCGGGACATCAAGGCGAAGTGTTGCGAACGCTTGGCACTCAAAGTGTGTGGAGCGACCTCACTGGCCGACCTCACCGATGAGGATTGCTGAAAACATTGAAAAAACATTGAAAACATGCCCCAAAATCATGTTTTTCCGTGTTTTTCCTCGGGAATCACAATCATTTGCGAAGGATATGATGGGAAGCTTCACTTTAGCCACTGACTTATCCATGCTTTCAGACTTTCTGTGTTTGATCAATGTTTTTGGGGACGATAGCAAAGCTCCTTGTTGATCCTGTGCAGCTTAGCATTCTGGAATTGACGACTAACTTTCCGTAATTAACTTTATCCAGCCACAATCTGCCTACCTTCCTCCATGAATACTATCTTGCCGCTTGGTTGGCCAATAAATTGTGCCATTTGCAGATCCTGGCTTAGACTTAGTTCCCACTAATCAACCAGCTTCAAACCCGGGATTTTATGCAAGATGAGAGTTCTAGAAAGTACATGTCATGGTACTTTGACACGTCTCCCAGGTGTCCCTTCCGCTAATCTGAAACCCTGACCATGAAAACCCACACTGCCCAACCAGCAGAGGACAAGTGTTGTTCATGGGCACCAAACGCCAAAAGTCATAAAAAGATATTTTTAGATTGGCTTTGGCTTTGGTGTCTTAAGATTTTAGCCTGCCACACACATAGCTTCGACAAAACATTTCAGCATGAAGTGGTTCGGCATGGCCTCGCTGGCGATGGCATCCAAAAGTGAGCAGTGCTACAGCTCCAGAGGACCAATTGCAGCGTCCCTATGTCAAAAGCCATCATGCTTCAACTGGAAAACCGAAAAGTTCACCAAACTCAGGTGTGCTCGAAAAATGATATGGGTCCATATGGGTTTCCATGGTTTCCTGTTTTTTTCCAAACCATTTTGCAGTTTTTATATGTTTTCCTACCAAAACTCATATTTTGCTCATGATTTAAAGGGATCCGCCCAGGATGCGATGCTGACCCCGCCTGGGCACGTGACCAAGATTGCTCAGCATTCGAGGCAAAATGCCTACAGGAGCACCAAGCGTCAACGTCAACACTGTAACTGTAATATCTGTAATACAACAGTAAATGCCATCCAACATCCTGTTTTGGACACCATTGGAGGCATCCCAAATAGAATCCCCTTGGCACGACATCATTCAATCACCCAAAGATGGCAGTTGTTGGATGAGACAATGGCAATTCATCCCATCTATGTACATGCGTGTCTACTATCTATCAGATCTAGTGTCTAGTATCTATTATCTAGTATCATCTATGAACTATTATCTACATCTATTCTTCTATGTGTATTATATATAATAGATAGATAGATATTATGTGTATATATTTATATATTCAATGCCATAGTGCGTTCACAGAATTATGTCATCCACTGTCCATCATCCTTCACTTCATCCACCTGACTCCCAGGAGCTCAACGCCAGCAGCGGCGAGGATTTGGTGCCCCTCAAAGAAGTCATGGGGCTCTTGGAGGTGAGATTTCGGAAATCTCCAATCGGAAAATCTATGGCTTTAATAAACTTTAGATTTGGAAAATGGCTGCTGTTTTTAATTTATGGGTCCCTAATTTTGTGTTAACCGATGCTGTAAGGCAGTCGGACAGGAGAAGCTTCACGTTGGCGCCTTGCGGGGCGATGAATGGATGGATCGTTTCGCGGCCAAGCACTGTGTGGGTGCCCGAGAGATTATGGACTTTCCGAAGGACTGGAAACGTGTGCACTGCTGTAAGCACTGCTGTAAGCACAGCTTTCATTGTGGGATGTGTAGGATGACAAATATGCAGAATTGGTGTTCAGAAAAGAATCATGTGGTAGGACGTAACAAAAAACCGGGGGCCACAAAGGAAAGGATGTTTTGGCACTTCTATTAGGGAGAGTCATTTGAGTGACACTTGATGGAGAACGACGTGGCAGTTCATTTATGGCCTGATATCTAAAGACGAACCAATAGCATCCAATAACTAGAGAAGCCATGAGAAGCCATGAGAAGCCAATATCACCAGACCACAGGACGCATCCGCAGTGGATGCCTTGCGCCGGCAGTTCCGAGACACCACAGAATCGGCTGTCTTGGTTCATTCGGACGAGCTGCAGGATGGTGTCATGGCACAGACTTGGGAAGTGGGCTTGATGAGAGAAATGAAAGCAAAAAGTGGTCGGAAACATTGACAATAGTTGCACTCCTGAAACTACGAACCAGTACTAACAATTGTACTAACCATCCCAACCAACTCCGGCCAAACATCAAACATCAAACATCATCAAATCCCAGATTCTCCATCCCATCCCAAGGTATCGGTGCCCGTTTCAAAAAGGCCCTGGAACTCACCGTGGCCTCGCTGCTTCTGGGCTTCGATGCCGTGGCTTTGAACCTGCCAGCCGCAGGGGGGCTGCTGCACCCTGCAGGTCTGATCAAATCTTGGGTTTATCTGATGGAAATATTGAAATTAATGATGAAAAAGCATGATGAATATGGTGTTAACATGTGTTAACAACCCTCAATCTTATGAGTGCTCAGTTTATGGGATGTTGATAATGTTAGCAAACAAGCATAGCAGTATGCTGTCAGAACAACGTGAGTGTTTGGAAAATGGAAAAACATTGTTGATAGTAAGCCATATCTGAAATGATACCCAGAAAAAGTCTGCCAGGCAGCTGGAATCATGGCCCTGTGTGGTGCCATGAACCTCGGCTGCAGGGTGACCCCCTTGGTGCATGTCGTTTCAAGCCCTGAGAATGGAGAATTCTGAGATCTGAGAATTTTCAAGATCTGAAGCCAAAAATAAATCCACAGAATCTGAGGAAAGCCCTGCAGATGGCCCGGAACGGCAACTAGCTGGAGCACCGGAGTATCCGCTGCGCTGCTGGCGCTTTGATCTGCAAAAAGATGTCTTGGCTCAGAGCAACGAACCTGAAGGACCCAAGGGCAGAACAGGCGACGATCTAACGGCCACCATCGGCCACCCAATTGTTGATTGGATTTGATTGGTGTTTTTCGTTTTTCCGACTCTGAAAATGGCAGAAAATACGGTGAAGATGGTAATGTGATGTGCAGAAGAAAGGTTTCAATACAGAGATGTTAAAAGGCTTTGCACCTAAAAGTGTTTTGACAGGGACCAAGACGTGAAAACACATGAAAACATCTGAAAAATGGTGGTCATCTCAACCTCTCCAGCAAAACTCGATGGGAAGTTGAATGATGGATTTCCCAAGAGATTCCATGAATTGACAATGAAGGAATAGGATCGCCACTGCGGATGAAAAATGTTTGATGCACTGGACATGACGACATCCCCTTGCCAGGACGACAGCTGCTATGGGGATCGTTGGCTTCGTCGTCGTTCAGGCCTCAGATATGTTCCAAGAATCAATATTCTGGCAGATGTAATACGTGTAATATCATGTAATACCCTCGCTATATGGTGGTATTACGGTGAATAGAAAACTCTGTGCCCAGAAATGCCAAAATCTGTGGGTCCCACTGCCTCAGATCGTTTTTCCCATTGCCATCTACATCTTACATGGACAGTATGAAAGACATGAAAACGGAGCTGAGGTCATCTTGGAGATGTTTCAGTTTCAGGGGCGACCTAGAAGGACACTGCAACTCTGAAAGGATCCCATTGGGATCCATGGGAGATGGGTGGTGTGGTGTGCCCTCGGGCAATCTTCCTTTGTCGCTTCAGAATAATCCAATCACTTAAACATTCACCACCAATCATCCATTACATTACATCATATCTCACATCCACTGCACTTTGCTCTATGTTTAGGCCAAATGTTCTAAGGCTATTCTAAGGTTTCATGCTTAGTCTTCAAGTCCCATCCATTCCCATCCCATCAATGGCTTTTCGGGGCTTTCCACATTAACAACGCCTTTTCGATCCTTTTCGATCCTTTTCGGCTTGGTCTTCACAGGACCCCCGTGGCAGTTCCTGCAGACGGCGCTGCCGCGCTCGGCCGCTGTGCTGCCGCGGCTCTTCAGCAGCGTCCGCAGCTTCGCGGCGCCCGGCCGCGTGCTGCCGTGGCGCCGCGAGGCGCGCTGCGGCTACGGCGCGGAGTCAGAGCGCCTCGGCCGTGCAACGCAGGGAGTCTTTTCGTGTGGTCTCCTGGAACTGCCTTTGAGGTGATTGGTATGTGATTTTTGCCATGAAAAATCAGTGATTGCTTTGATGATTCAGGATGTATTTGAAAATTTGTTGATGTAACTTATGTTTGTCCTTTGAATTGGAGCTTCAAAATCGTGAGTCCACTTGGCGGTTCCATCCATGGCTTAAGGTCGTCCATCCAGCAGCATATCGCCATGCACATCCGCCGTGGTGACGTGGGCGAAGCTTCAGGCTACGCACTGACGCAACAACTGGATCCATCCCAACTATCCAGGTGGGATCCTGTTTGTCATTGTTTGTCAAAACAAGACTGGTTTCAGTTTTTGCCAACGATGATCCCCCCACTATTTTGAGATCAGAATCCACCCTTTCAGAGGTTCCAAATTTCAAGGTTTCAGTTTCCATATGTTTCCATCATTTCGATTTCGGAATCGCAGCCATCCCATCCCACAATCCCCGTCCCGCTGCGTCAGATGGCTATGCGCCGTGGCGAAATTGTTCGATGGCAGCTCTGCCCTGCACATTTTCACCGAAGCAGCGGGGCAAAGTCGTGGGGCTCTGCGGCGCAAGGGTTTACCAGGCACCATGGCATGGCCATGACATGATGTGGTGGGATGGTGGGACGGTGGGTTGTTGGGATGGGAACTCTGGAGTAGAAACTTGTGAACGCTGCAACAAGTGGATATCACAGAACCACTGGAGATTGGGTTTCCAACAGATGACGCAGGGTGTTGTTGGTTGAGGTGTTTTCCAGTCGAATTTCTTCCGAAAGAAACTGCAAGAGCGGCTAAAAAGCTGCCATGTTCATGAATCTGCAGTTTTTGTTGAGGTGCCTATCATTTCAACTAAACACAAGAGGATGTCGGTAGTATTGATCTGATCAACGACAAAGCTACAATTGCCACTGCTGGAGGCTTCATCTTCGATGCCCATAACGACGACGACGAACCGATCTTCCACACCACCGCCAAGCTGGCAGTTCCACCTACATGTAAGGAGCTGGCTGGATGTCAATTTTGGGAACCCAACAGTGTCCAGAAGGAAGTGGGTGAAAGCTCGCTGGCACGAAGACAATCGCTTTTTCAAGATGCACGACTTTTGTGCGTAAAGCATTGCGAAGATGCCCCTCTTTTTGTTGACTCCCGTATCAACAATGGCACTTTGGCATTCTTCAGATTCCTCCACAGCGATCATGATGCCGTCGATTGCTAGGAGCTTCATCCACAAGTCCATGTGGTGGTGAACAACAACCCGCTAGAAGCCCTTCTCTGTACCTGGGTGCATGTTGTCAGATGCAGACAGAAGGCCGCAACATCAGCATATTTTCATCTGACACGAATCGAATAAACATGATGCGGTGTGATTGTCATTTGAATGAGGCTTTCAATGTATGATTTGTATTGATTTGTATTCAGAGCAGATGGTTTAGACCATCAGTAGCACTTTCCCAATCCCCACGAATATCCACAAATCATTCATCTTTGCACCTTGGGTCATCGTGGCATCATGCCACAGCACGGCTGCGCATGTCCCATCACGCAGCCATTGCATCTCTCGCAGAGATGTCGAGCCTGTCTTGCACAATGCAAAGCAGGAAAAAGACCGGGGCTGTCATGCAATATCCTGGCCTCCCCGGTTCAACGCCTTTGAAGGAGACTGGGAATGCAAAGCTCCATTTTTTATTGTCCAAAAAACATTGTGTTTTGATATGTGTTGATCAAGTTCACCCGTGACATTTCAAAAATGAGGAAGTGGCGTTGCTCGTTTCGCCTCTGGTCGATGCAGGGATCATGGGTGTTTTGTATTTCATCGAGTTTTTTGCTCAGCTCTTGAACCCGCGCAACAACCCGAAGGGAAGGTTCCCTGGAATGGGAACCCACTTCGCTTGGTTGCTCACGTTTGAGGATAATCACAGGATGATCCTCGAACGCTTAAGAGATGGAGACCAAATCAAAAAAGTTGACGAAGATCTCCATGGACTTCGTGTGGGGAAGAAGCTGCCTTTACTCGGGGCAACGGTTGTCAAGATGGACACAATACATCATAGGGTCAGCTTAGCAAATGTGTGGCAGTGGTTGAGCAATAAGAAGCACCAGTCTTACACTTTTGGGTTCAACAACTGCAAACACTTTGCCTACGACCCTTGGAATGTGTGGTCCTTTTTGCTGATCACGTTTTTTAGTAACGCGCCCAAACAAAATGAAACATTGTTTCTGTTGTCATCCAGCAACACTTAGGATTTTCAGAAGAATTTGACACTTGGCAGCATTCTTAGAAGGTACTCAGCTTTCTGGTGTTGGTATAAGACTTTACAGCCACTTCAAACGTTTCAAAAACCACTGAAGCCATCAGTTGAGGCTTCTGACTCAGACTGATCATTTCAGCAGTTGGTGTGAGCAAATGGAGTTGATCTTTCAGCGCTACAGGTGAGTTGCCTCCTCCTTGGGATGAGGAGCATGATGGTTTTTAACACAAGACAAGTCCGATCATGTGGTGAAGAAGGCAGCACATCAAGACTTTCCCTGCGTTCGAAAAAAATGCGTTGGCTGCTTTGGCTGCCGTTGTGCAGGTTTGGGGGGAGCTCCAACAGATTTCATCGCATCTCTTTATGTTCAATTGGTGCCATCTTCGTTTTGGGATTCTCCCCAGTTTTAAGTCCGGGTCGTGGTCCAGTTCCATACTCCTTGAGAAGCAGCTTGACACATGGCGTCTGCAGTGTCACAGTTCAGATTAGAAAGTGATATGCAGAGTGTGCGAATGCTACCAATGGATTTTCCACAAGCCAGCAGTGAGTTCGTGAGACGAAACAATGAGAAATTTCCTCCGGGATTCCAATAGAATCTAGGATAATCTAGGTACATTCTGCGACCTCACAGCCTCACCAGTGATGTTTCGCAAGGGGAAGATGATCCCAAAGTGGCATCTCAAGTTTCGGGATGAGAACTTGCCCAGACTGTCTAGTTTGGAATAAGTTCTCAAGTTGAACCTGAGTATATCTGAGTATATCTCAGTATAATGACATAATTTATACATATTTCTACGTTATTCAGTAAGATTTTTTGATGTTTCACCGCCGTGACTGCCGTGAGCCAAGGTATGGCCCGCGCCGATGTTCTCATTACCAGCCTGAGCAGTTTGAGTTGGACCGCTGCGGTGCTCAACACGGGGCTGGTGCTTCATCCATCCACCAAAGCATCAACCAAGGCGACTTGACGCTGGATGCTGGATGCTGGATGGACCTCTCAATATGTTGGGAAATGGAGCGATTGGATGAAATCCGATTGTAGTCGCTATAGTCTCAACCTTATGCCATTGTCAGATATTGCCAGTAGGCAAAGAGTGCTGAATCCTTTTTGAAAGTGTCATCAGTGTCAGAATCATCCGAATCTCATTTGCACCAACGTAAAACTTCTACTCAGAATATCTCAGGATCTCACTTGTTTCACTTGTCAACGTAAAAACTTCAGCTGAGGTGCATAAGGTCCATTGGGATCTGCGCGACCAATACCTGGACTGGGCCGAGAACTGGTTCCCCGCCACAGATGTTTGGGATCGGCCTCAAACTCTGGCGCAATGGACGCAACGGACCAAAAAGGAGCGCTAGCAGCGGGGGGAACCAAAGGAGACCATTCCAGACCTGCGGATGGCCTGCGAGATTTTTGCAGATTTGCACAATGCCAATTGTCCAATCGTTTTGACTTGAACTTTCATTACAAAGTAAAGTTGTAAAGCAATTTGGCGTCCTGTGACGCTTTGAAGATTGTAGACTTTGTGTTGCGGCATCGCGGCCTTGAGCCCCAAGGTGTGGGGTCTTCAAGATAAGCCATCCTAAGCCATAGCCATCGTGTCAAATCCGGACCTGGAAAAGCCCCAGACGAAGTTGATTTATGAGTCTCAGGTCGCTGCTCACAGCCAAGGTGGGGAGTCAAGACATCCAAAGAATGTCCATCCCATCGAATCGATGCGCCACAATGCACCACAATACGGGCAGTACAAGACACAATCCAGAAAACCTATCTTTGGAGGGTAACAGGGGTAACAGAGCAGTAAAAATCCCTATGTTCAGCGAGGCGAAGAGCGCCTTCCGGCAGATGGAACGACTGCCAGCAGCACCACCGCCACCCAAGGGACTCAGTTGGGATACGAAGAAATTGTGTCACTTGGCCCAGCTGAGCATCCAAAGAGGTTTCCCTTGGGATTTGTTGAGATTTTCTGTCAAAAAAAATGATCTGCAGAGTTTTATGGAAATTGATGGGATTTGGCATTTTTAGGGTCTGAAATCACCGACAAAGCATCTCGACACTTCCGGCAGAGTCTGTGCTTGCGAACAGTAAGATTCGAATGTTCAACACATTTTCCTCTAAACGACCCTGAAGTGTTGACACATGACGCACAGCGCATCTCAGAACCGGAAGTTGTTGGACTTTCTCCCTTGTTGCACAGCTGTCCCTAGGCAGTAAGCAAGACTACTACGAGGATTGCATCGAATGCTGTCGAGAAAAGATGCCAAAAGAACCAGCCAAATGCCACTTGTCAGCATATGTTAACTTCAGCAGTAGATGGTTTTTACATGTTTTTACATGTGTTCACCAACATTTTCAGATAATCGGAATCCTTTGGAGTGTCTCCTCCCGAGTGGTTTTCTTTGCAAAGGCCGTCCAGTCCTCCACGTCACCGCTGCCATGCGGTTCCATCGTTCCACGGAGGTATGCGGAAGTTCTGCACGCCGCTGCTGACTAAACCAAAGCCGCAAGATCTGCAGTGAAAAACAGTCTGTCGCATGCGAAAGATCTGTGCTTGGCAGTTGGGTGGAACTGGGATCTCCGTTTGAAACTGGAACTTTCTAACATTTTCCAACAGTCTACTTTTGCTGAACGGAACCAGAAACCAAGCCATTTAGAGCCATCCCTTCATGGAGACGCCCGCGAGGACAAAGTGCTCATTATCGACAATGTCCAGGTGGGGCCCGTGATGCTATGCAGCCCAGGTGGAACGGTGGAACTAAATCACATGTTTGATCAGTGGTGCTTCGTACAGATGTTTTTGCACAACATATTTTTGGATCATGCGGCAAGTTATCAAGTTCCAGAGTTTGAGATATACACCGACTCTTTCACTGACTCCTGGGCAAATCAGCTGCAGCCGTAATGTGGCCAGGAAAACTTCATGTTGCAGCCACACAACGGCATCTTCATTCTATCTTGGTGCCCAGACCTGTGGAGAAGGGTTTGGTCAACAACCAAGTGGGCGGAATAGGTGGACCTTTCCAACCAATTTATGGCCATCACGATTGAACCAGATGGCGGTTGTCCTTGCAGGTACGACGACCCCAATGACACGGCACTGTTCGCGTTGGGGCCACAGCAAGGTTGGTTCTTTTTGGGGTGTATGGTGGGTATAAGGACTTCAGCAAGAAAAGCATGGGCATGTGACACATGTTTCACACGGTACAATGGTGGTGCTGGGGCAAGTGAACAGATCACCTGCCAAAAACTGCCTAGCGGGCCTAGCGGAAAGATTTCTGGCAGATGGTGAATGGAAGATTTTACTGCAGTGAAGGTTTGTACTTCAGGTTCAAGCCATCAACTAGACGAGGTGTATGGTTGTTGCACCATCTGTTGTCAGTGTCCATGCCGTTTCACATCTCACTTCATAAAGCAGACCTCTAGGGGTCAACCTAAACACAAAAAAAAAATAGATCTGTCCAAGACTCACGTTGGCCGTCACAGATTCGAAGCCCGAGGCTCACACCGCTGTTGGAAGAACTGGCAGCCACAAGGCCCAAGGTCAGCAGCCGTCAATGTGTGTCGATGTGTGTCGTGAATATTTCATGCAAATATGAGTGAAAAATAGTGAAAATAAGGTGAAGATAGATGAAAATGTGAGGAGGAGTGGAAGAAGGTTTGATAAACTATCTTGACGAGTGTAATTTGAGGTGACTTTGATCTCGTTCAACATGTTCGGTTGCCAGCGGCTGAAGTGTAAGCTACCATTGAACATTTATCAAAAGACATCAAGAGCAAAGGCAATGTTCAGGACAGAGGCACGTTAATCTAGCTATCAAAGGATAGCCAGTTGACACTAAAATTAAAAATTGAAAATTGCCCAAATAAATCTGATGGAATCTGTTTGAACTTGAAGAAAGTGTTCATATCAAGTTTCACTGATAGCCTGCGTTTCACTTCTGAGTTTCGTCAGGGAATTGATACTCTTCCATGACTTTATGATACTTTGACTCAGCAATCCAGAGTATCGAGTTTTCCCGCAGGTTCATGACTTGCTGGAGAAGTACAAATTGGAGGCACAGCACGGCAGTAAGGGTTGGAACACGTTGGAACTGGTATTGGAGATGAGATGAGATGAGACTTCACCCCACGATTCAGCAGGCATCCGTGTAACATGTAGCCAATCCAGGTGGCATCCGGTGACCATTCGGGCAAAAATCAGATATCCATCGATATCCCATGATATCTCATGATATCTCATGATATCCCCACATTGCCCCTCATCCTCAAGATCCATCAAGATCCCCACTGCAATGTGATTCGCATCCTCCCAGATTCCGGGTTGGGCCGGATTCGAAACCTACGATCAGCAGGGGCCCCAACTTGCATAGTGATCATAGTGACACAGTCAGGAAGATATTCAGCGGTTGGATCACTTGGCTTGGGTCAAAGTGGGTCAAAGAGTTTGGGGTTCGGCATTTTTTGAGACATAGTGTTCCAATGGGACGCAGGTGGACCAGGAGACTTGAGGATCAATCACTCAGTATCACGCCGTAAATCTGCGGCTCAGTAGTGTTTTTAGTGTTTTTTGCCCTCGGCGCAAATTTATTTTCTCATTTGTTGATCTGAAAGCATGGCATGCCCAGACTGCTCAGAGATCAGGATTGAGATCGTTGGTTTGGCTGCTGGGCAATGGCATGACTTCAGTGTTCCGAGTGCTATGACTGGACGGGAGTTGCTGAAGTTGATCATCGACAAGCTTCCATCCAAGCCGGGTGCAGCGGTCACTATTCATCATGGATCAGAACCTCTGCAGTTGGACGAGACTTTGTTGCAGCAAGGCATTGGCGAAGGTGTGACCTTGTCCTTTTGTTACCAGCCAAACAATATCTATGCTGCTTGGAGGTTTCTCAGAGGCAAGAACAATGATGAGTCCTCGCTGCAAGGATTGGTTCAGCTTGATGGGGTGCGTTTCATTCAAAAACTGCAGCATGGGGCGCATTTGCCAAATTGCCTCGCAACTTTGACTTTTTCCCACCAGTTCGACCAGTCCCTAGATGGCTTCATGTGGCCCAGCGGTCTCAAGAGAGTGATGTTGGGCGATGAATTTAACGAGAGTCTGGATCAAGTGAACTGGCCCTCAGGACTTCAGGTTTTGGAGTTTGGAAATAGTTTCAATCAAAGTTTGGATCAAGTGACATGGCCAAAAAGCCTACAGACCTTGATCTTTGGTGCTGACTTCGACCAGAGTTTGGATCGGGTGAATCTGCCCGACAGCTTGCGTAACTTGGAGTTTGGTAATGACTTTGATCAGTGTTTGAATCAAGTGAAGCTGCCAAGCAGATTGCAGAACCTGACTTTCGGATACAGCTTCAACCAAAGCTTGGACCGCGTGCAGTTACCGAGCAGCCTTGAGAGCCTCACTTTTGGTCGAAATTTCAACCAATGTTTGAATGAAGTGAATCTGCCTGATGGTCTGGAGAGCTTAGTTTTCGGGTATCACTTCAACCAAAGCTTAGACTTTGTGAGCCTGCCAAGTGGTCTCATCACTTTGGCATTTGGAGATGGCTTCAATCAGAGTTTGGATGGCGCAACTTTGCCAACTGAACTGCAGAGCTTGGCTTTCGGGGATCGCTTTAACCACAGTCTGGAGATTCCAAGTCTCAAAGGTCTCAAAGGTCTAAGGCGGCTCATTTTGGGTTACGATTTCGATCAGAACCCGGATGGATTGACACTTCCGAGCCTTCGAAGCTTGACCCTGGGCAGATCAGACAGCTTTGGCAACAAGAGGTTGGAGCAGATGACTTTCCCAATTGGTTTGCAAAGTTTGGTTCTTGGACCCTTTGGCAATTTGCGTAGCCAATATCTTCAGATGGTCACTTTCCCCAGCACCTTGCAGAGCTTGACATTTGGAGAGGAATTTAACCAAGTGCTCCAAATGCAGTTTCCAAGTGGCCTTAAGCACCTGACTTTCGGCTACAAATTTAATCAAAGCCTGCATGTCCATCTGCCAGATGGTCTTGAAAGCTTGAAATTTGGGGAAGAATTTAACCAAAGCCTGGAGAATGTGACGCTGCCATCTGCACTCCGCAGTTTGACCTTTGGGGAAGCCTTCAACTGCAGCTTGAATCACACAGTTCCTTGGCGTTCAGAGAGATCACGTTTGTTACCTTGGCACAAGGAAAACATCAAACGATGTCAACTAGGTCAACTAGGTCAACTAGGTCAACGGTTCATTCTGGTTCATTTTCTTGTTGCACAGGTGCTGGAGTTATTTGCTTGGCTTCAACTGGCTTTGATCCATGGTCACTTAGGTTCTGCCAAACGGACTTCAGAGCTTGAGCTTTGGGGACCACTTCAACCGCTCTTTGGACCGTGTGAACTTCCCCAGGAATTTGCGAAGCTTGAGCTTCGGTTTCTATTTTAATCAGAGGTTGGATCAAGTTCGTTTCCCTGAGCACCTCGAGACTTTGGTTTTTGGGCACCATTTCATCCAGAACTTGGATGTGAATTTGCCCAGTCTCGTCAGTTTGACCTTGGGAAATTGGTTCAACCGCACCTTGGATACGGCAAAGATGCCAAATTTGCAAGAACTTTGTTGTCAGGGTTTGCTCGTGAGTTACTTGTCGGAAAGCGCTATGTCTTGATTGCTTTCCAGACTCAGCTCTTGTACAGTAACGCAAGCTCCCTGAATGTATAGTGCATGTTTCATGGAACTGTGACTGCGACCCAGATAGGATGTCACTTCAAATGACGGTTCCAAGCTGTGCTTCTATGGAAAGCTTCACAAGGAGTGTGCCCTTAGCTATGGCCCAGCATCAGCCGGTAACCCCCATGATTAGTTGCTTCATATTACTTATGTTGCTTCCTTTGGGCCAAAACTCATCCCCTTCCGCAGAGGTTTCTAGTTGCAGTTCAGCCGAAGACCTCACAGTTTGCCTAGACAAGCTGAGACAAGCTGTTGCAATTCGTTTGTGTCGATGGCTGAGGGCAGGTCAGCACAGAAGACTTGCCCCAGCATGGACCAGCTGTGTGCGAAAAAAGGATGCCAAGCGGCCGGTGTGGCTGGTGATTTTTGTGGAGTCTTCGCTCACCCAACAAGCGACCCTTCCTGGTGAGTTTGATTCTGGCGGCAGCAACCATGTGATACTATATGTATTCAATGTATATGATGTATATGATATACATTCTGTATATGGAACAATTCTGAAGCTTCCCCCCATTTGGATGGCGAACTGCCTGGAATCGAGGATGGCGGGTGATTTGTCAGAGTACGACCCTGCTTTAGATGATGGAGGTGCCAGCGGAATGATGAAGTGATGAAGTGATGAATCAGTTTGCAAAGTTTGCAACTGTAACGTTACAATCAGAGTGACGGATGAGTGACGGATACTTCTTTTTGGGCAGGTGCCACAGCTTTTCCTTCAATTTGGCTCGTCATTCCATCTTTAAAAACCTGGAAATAGGAGCAGATGGAGCAGTAGGAGATGAGTTTCCGTTGCCAGTTGCAGTGCCAGTTGCTCCGCCCACCGGCTCCAACACAGCAGTTTCCGCCCTTGAAGATCAAGAAAATTCAAGAAATATGAAAAGACACAACCAACCGATACGAAACCGCTTGTAAAACTTGGAGCAGGACATTTTGTTTAGCTGAGTTGAGAAAATTGTGGTTGATCTTGGCTGTTGGGCCACCCAATTTTTCTGGCACCGAGTATAAAATGTGGACCTCTATATAGCATGTGATTTTGTGAATTGAATCATGTTGAATCGTGCATTTGCAGTTGCGAAAGACCACCTTTTCAAGGACTCAGCAAGCCAAGGCCTGTAGGCACTGTAGGCCGGCAAGAGAGGCTCAAGCCACCGAACACGCCGAACACCACACTTTGCCAAGCTTCGGGTCGGTGACGTCGGTGACGCCGGTGACGCCGGTGACGCCGTTCCGAAATGGATGGCCTTCTCAGGGTTCCGAGACTCAGTGATCGCTGATCGACTCACGCTGTGTTGGAAGTACCCGAAGTACCCGGAGTTCGGTGCCCACATAGAGCCCACAGCTAATCCCAAAACAAATCAACGAAACAGTAGAAATCTCAGCCGTTTTTGGGGAATTCTGTGTTTCTCCGATCCATCTTGAGGCTCTCTTTCTCGACAAGGGCTTCACGGAGGATCAACTTGATACTATCGAGGCTGTCGATTCGGCTTTAGAACCAAGGAGGGAACGGAAGGAAAACTGTAAACTGCACCAAGACAAGCTAAGAATCAGAATTAAAACCGCCTGTCTCTTGATCCAGTGTGAGCTTCGCGGGTGACAAACTGCGGAAAAGACCGAATTGCATGAAGCCAAACAGGTACAAAATGGTACAAGTGTGCAATGACAATTCCTCCCTGGCATAGTTATTTCCCATACCAGTCGCAGATGATGTTGAAGATATCCACATAATGCACATATATCCACCATGTGTTTTATTTGCCCTTGTGAATGCTGATTTTATCCACTAAAATTAGCCATTTAGCATCATTTAGCCAATGATTCGTTGTTTCACATGTTGAAATTCTGAAACATATTGAAAGCTTCAACTGGATTCCCCGATTCCCCGATTCCCCAGGCACAAGACTCCGAGCTGCGCCATGTGGGCGATTTGGCCGCCGGTGCCACATCAGAAGACGACGCACGCGTCGGGGCGGCCCAGTGGCATGCTATGGCATGTGACGTGCCAAGAATTGCCAAGATGTGCCGGGAGGATCTTCAAAGCTGGAAGCTTCAAACGAAAATTAAGAGGGAAAATGTATGAAAATGTCAGAAATGTGGAAAAGGTGTGTGTCAAGTTGGTCTAGTTACTAGTTGAATTCTGAAATGATTTGATCACAAGCACAAACAAAGGAGATGTAGAATTGGGGCTGTGGATACTGACTCTTCCAGTGGAGGGGTTTGGAAAACAAAGGTGAAGGAAGGAAGATTCTGAGTTTTGAGATAAAGAAAGATGCAATCTTGCCAGCAGCAGTATTTAAGGTGGGGTGCGTGTAAAGATTGTTTAGAAGCGAAAGCACATGAAATTCAGATATGCATTGTCATTCCATCTAACTCCACGCAAAAAATATATAAAACTATCATGTAATATTATATATATATACATATAATGTCACCATATGTCACCAGTCAATCAATAAAAATTGTGTGAAAATCCACAGCTCAGCTGTTGTTTGGTTCACACCCACATGGTGTTCCCAGTGTTCCCCTTCCCGACATCTGCCGAGGTTTGGGCAGAGGAGTTGGGTCTCAGCAGCCGCGTGAGCAAAAGTCGCTTCGTGAGGCGTCCTGTTGGGGACCTGATTGGACTCTGATTAGCTGCGCAGCTCAGCTGCTAAACCAATTAGGGAGACACTGTCGGATTCTGTTGGATTCTGTTCCAGATTTTCCATCAGAAAGGGAGCCGGAGGATTTCTTCCGGAAGAATCATTTTTTGATCCATCATGTTTTTCATCGTATGTTCAGCTGATGATCCTGAAGTGGCTCCATATGGCTCCATATGGCTCCATATGGCTCCTTTGGAGGTCGTGGATCGAAGCAAGATCTCAAGGCTCGTTGAGTCTTGATGCCCCTCAGCCGCAATCAGGCCTTACAAGATGCGAAGTGATGGGTAAAAGTACCTCCCAGCAACCGAATCCCTTGGTTCAGGTCATGGATTGGTATTTTGGGGTAACTTCTGACCCGCAATGGAACACCCAGGCCCCTATGAGTACGTTGATGAAACAATCCATTACCTCCAAGCTCCAAGTGCAGCACACCGTGTCCAGCTGGACTTGGGTCCAGTTCGTTTCCCACAGCAATTGAATTATGAGTCATGGGGCTTCATGATTGGCAGATTTGGCAGATGTTCAACTAGATCATCACCCAGATATGGCTGAAACATGCTGAAGCCTGTTCTAAAGCTGGAGAGACGGAGGACCGTTTTCTCAATCACAACATATCACAACCAATCACAGCGAGGCCGGCTACACTCCCTCAGAACCTGCCAAGAGAGCGCCATCTCCGGTTCAAGAGCCCCCGGTGGAGTCAAAGTTCGTGGAGGAGGTTAGAAGCAGTTGGGATGGGAAGTGCTGTGCTGGGAAAGGGAACATGTTGAACATGATCAAAAACTCTAAAGTCCTATCTGATACATATTTCTGATACATGTTTTTTTTGCAACCACAAAGGTATCTTATTTTGAATGAAGTCAAAAGAGCAAAGTGTTGCTTGGGAGTGAGGACTAATACATGTCAGAAGATCATTATCACTTGGGATGATGTGTCGTGTCCATAACATTCCATGACCTTGAATTGGATTTGGATTGGTTTCTGTCACTGTACGTCAAGATCATAGCCAGAAAGTCCTGGAATAGTTGGACTTTAGATGACTTCAAATGACTTTAGCTTAAGAGGTATATATTACTGAGCTTCGGATTGTCAGCCGAAAGGGTATCAATGTGGATCGTCAGCACCTGGTTTTTGTTCGTGAGATCAGACTTGCCGACTCTCAACATCACATTGGTCCAAATCTCATTATCAGCGATTTCAGCATTGATATTCCACTTCAGAGGAAAATAAAAAAGCGAGATTTTCCCATCCACTGCAGTTCAAAGACCATCCCAGAAATCTCAGCAGAGGAGTTGGCCGATGACTGGAACTGGGTGAAGTTGTCTTCACAGGCAGAAATGGCAATGACACCGACACCGCAACAAGAGACCCGTAGGGGGCTTGGATCAAATCGCTGTTGACGAAGGCAATTCTGCAGAGGTTGGTTAGACGCACCTTTAGGATTCCTTTAGGCTGTTTGAAGGGAATGCTAAAGCAAATTTGCTCCTGCTAAATAGCTCACCCAGAATGGGCTCACCCAGAATGGTTCATGTCTGATGAAGATGGTTCAGACAAGACAGGCTTGCCAAGTCTTGCACTCAGGTGTGGCTTTGAGTTACATCGACGCCACCCTCTCATGTTTAATACCTTGGAAGCATTTTGGTTTAGTGCCTTGATGAAACCTCTGAGATCCTTTGAGATCCTCTGAGATAGTCGAGATCTAGTAACTAGATCTAGTAGAATTATGATTTATGATAGTATGATAATTATGTAACATTATGTAGCATTCATGTGGGCGATGCCAGGGAGAGCCTGTCTCAAAGCCTGGAGGCATCAGCGACATGTTACGGAGGCACCTGGAACACCTAGAAACCTTGGAGACATGCTGAGGGCATGCTGAGGGCTGTGGAGATACCATTTCAACTAATTTCAACATTACCACGAAGGTTAAAAAAAACCTCCCTCCTGGTTTGACAAGACATTTACGGTAGGCATCCCTTGAAAGTAACATTACACTGCAGTGACCAAATGCTCCTGTGCCACTTTGAAGTGGGATGAAATCCTTGACCAAAGTGGCATCTCTGATCCACGTGGTTTTCCTTGACTGAACGTCTTTATGTCTTTCATATGTCTTTCATGTGTTTTTCATATGTCTTTCATATGTCTTCATGGTCCGCCTGCGCCAGTTCGTTGAGATCTCACGGGCTCACCAGCATTGAGGCCACTGGGCTCGGGTCGGGCTCCGGATCGGGCTGCGGGTCAGGCGTGCCGCCTCGCAAGTATCGCAGTCAGCCAGGTGAGCCAAATGGAGCAAACGTTGGAAGCCAGAAGCTGCCGGGAATACCCAGGGATACCCAGGGATACCCAGGGATAGGGTGAAGGCTTTCCGATCTTTCCGGTTCACGGGGTAACTCTTCCGGTCACCAGGGGAATGTCCGGAAGTGATCTTCAGTAACAGGAAAGCTGGTCGATCCTTGGGCCCACAATTTGGGATGTGGAATTTCGCCACCATCACGTTGCATGCTGCATGCGATTTCATGAAGTGGACCAGAATGAAAAATCAGCTACTGGTGCCTGCAGTTGCAGAAATGCCAAAGTTTTTCCATCTCTTAAATCTCATATAAATATAGATATATATACATATATATATATATATATGCATATATATATACAATTTAAATATACAATTTGAATAGGATGTTTTTGGTAAGTTGGTACGCACCACTTTGGAGACTCCCCGGTTCTACAGGTAAAGCGCTGGCCACTGCTGCGTCCACCTTCGAGAGTGCCATGAGGTCCGGAGGAAACTCAACACGTTGGTGTGTCTGGATGGATAGTGGATGTGGCTATGAGCTGATCTGGGAAAGTTGAACACATATAGTTGGAAGATCAAAATGACAAAACAAAGGAATTTTAACTCAATCGATTCAATCGTTCTTCCAATCGTTCTTCCAACTCTGCCAGGTTGGCGCGGCTTTGCGGCATCCAAAGCAAAGTCTCCCAGGAGAACTTTGCGAAGGCATGGCATCAGTCGGGGCGCCCAAAACGGAGTCCACCCGGGAGGCCCAGTCTGCCGGCCCGATCTGTTGGATGATTTCGATGCGGTCGCTGACGATGCCTGATGAAAAAACTGGCCGATCAACTTGAGCGACTTAAGGATGCTAAGTTAGCAATGCTAAACAACGGCCACACCGAAACCTTCTGTTTACTCTTTCACGACAGTTTCCCGATAGAGGTTGGGATAGAGGTTGGTCAAGACTGTCCCGCAAAGATGCCAATACAGTACCCAATGGCGCCAACTAAGGGCAGCTGCCACAATGATCGCTTTGGATGGAGCGCTGCAAATGGGGATGTTGACGCTGTAAGGCTGTAACCCTTGAGCAACGGCAACAGCTGTTGAAGATTGTTGAAGATTGTTGAAGATTGTTGAAGATTGTTGAAGATTGTTGAAGATTGTTGAAGTGTCAAGAGAAATATGTTCCATGACTTGCCCCAGCCACATTTGGAGTACCTTCTGCCAGTGCCAGTGGACTTTTTGTGAGCAGAAATCGCCGGACCAGGTCTGCAAACTGGACAAACGTAGTAGGTCTTCCATCAGAATTAAAATGTGTTCAGGGTGCCGAAAGAATCGAAATCCAACAAGATGCCGTCATTAGTGACTCTATATGACTCTATGAACTGGAGGAATCTAAATACGAGTTTCTTCGGAAATTCTAAAGAAGATGCTGTTCGAACAGGAACCAACACCTGTCACGGCCAGGAGGGAAGAAGTCGAAGCAGCTGGTGGAGTTGGTGAAGGACGAGGATTGGGAGGTGCGACTCGATTCGATCGACTCGACATCAACATGTCACCTCTGTCACTTCTGTCACCGGGCCTGGTCGAAAAAGGTCAATGTTGGAAGTTTGGTTAGATATGTTATGACATACTGTTATGATATGTTACAGATATGTTTCTGTTTGGAGATCAGGCTGTGAATGTGACCCGAAATCAGAGAGTGTCACGACGTTTTTTGTTGTTTCATTGCTTTCGATGTTCATTCTGGCTGCTGAACAGGTTATGTGCAGTAATGATTGGATGACCAGCCACTGACACCATTCACGATCCCCTAAAAAAAATGGATTGTTGCAGCCTTCCAGCCGAGATAGTGCTCCGCAGAAGTGAAAAATGCAAAAAGTTCCTGAAGAATTCATGAGTGGTGATTCACTAGAACCCCAAACATTTTAAAGTACCAAATTTGGAATTCAATGGAACCCAATTCGATCTCACGTCGCACCACAGCTGATGTCAGAACATGACGAGACTCCACGTCCCAAGTGTGCCTGATTTGCTGACCTCATGGCGTACCCTTCAGAGCCAAGTCAGAATGCGGTGAATGCGGTGAATGCGGTGAGCATAGACAATGCGGTGAGCATTGAGGTTGTCAGTTTGCATGGAGATATTCCACTGTCGTTGAATGTCCCTGATTCCATGACTGGTCGCGAACTCCAGCAGATGATTAGCGACAAGCTACCATTGCAAGCAGGTGTCAGGGTGTGCATTCAACACGGATCTTCACCCCTTCTTTTTGGAGTAAGCTTACTTCAGCAAGGCATTGTCGGCCATGTGAACCTATCCTATGTCTACCAGAAGGTCAACATCTATGCAGTTTGGAGCTTCTTGAAAGGATCGCAGGTTGATGAAGACTTCATTTTGGATGGGGTGACTGAACTTGCAGGAATTGAATCCAAAAAGCTGTGCCAAAATTTGCCCAACAGCCTTCGGAGCTTGACATTTGGGCTGGATTTCAACAATAGTTTGAACGGTGTGAGCTTACCAAGTCGACTGGAAAGGTTGACTTTTGGACATAACTTCCGACAGAGCTTGGATCAGATACGTTGGCCCCCTGCTTTGCAGAGTTTAACTTTTGGCATCATGTTCAATCGGAGTCTGGATCAGGTGAACTTGCCAAAGACGTTGCAGGTTCTGACCTTTGATCATATGTTCAACCAAAGTTTGGAGTCTGTGAATCTACCCGAAACCCTTCGGTGCCTCACATTTGATTACATGTTCAACCAGAGCTTGGAACGGGTTGCTTTGCCAAAGAGTCTTGAAAGCTTGACCTTCGGAAGACAATTTGATCAACCTTTGGATCAGGTGAAACTGCCCGATGGGCTCAAGAGTTTGACGTTGGGATACGCCTTCAACCAAAGCTTGGAATCAGTAGCACTGCCAAATGGCTTGCAGAGCCTGACCCTGGGCGATGTCTTCAATCACAGGTTGGAAAATGTGAAGCTACCTCAGAGTCTCCGAAATCTAAGCTTTGGTGCCAAGTTTAATCAAAATTTAGACAATGTCAAACTTCCAGCCCTGGAGAGCTTGAGCTTTGGGGAATGGTTCTGTCACAAGTTGCATCCAGCAACTTTGCCCAGCAGCCTGAAGAATTTGGTCAACTACAACCATAATCTGGATGGGATGCATTGTGCGGACAGCTTGCAGAGTTTGACTTTCAGTGATTTGCTAAAGGACCAGGGTTGAGTTAAAGATCGTGTTGAAGCAGCAGCTTTCGTGTGTTCCCCCAATCAGTTGCAAACATAGTCTACTCAATCCAGTTGACTGAACGGCTACTCCGATGTAACGTGGGAAGTTGCAGAATTTATCTAAATTTGGCAGTTGTGTTCAAAGTTGCTCGCACCACCCCAACAAGGAGAAGTGGGAAAACGTTGCTCTACCAAGCGGCCTTCAGACTTTGAGGTTGTGTGGGGTGTTCAACGAGGAATTGCAGCATTTGCATTTGCCACCTGGGTTGCTGAGCTTGACTCTGAGTGGGTTTTTCGACAAAAGTTTGGATGAGGTGAGCTTGCCTGACAAGCTTCAGGAATTGACGTTTGGAAGACATTTTGACCAACCATTGGATCAGGTGAAATTGCCCACTGGTCTTCAAAGATTGACTCTGGGGGACAGATTCAACCAAAAATTGGATGATGTGAAGTTGCCTGGTGGGCTACGAAGCTTGACATTTGGACATGATTTTTCCCACGGCCTGGAGCATGTGATGTTACCGGAGGGCCTTGAGACCCTGAAATTTGGAGAAGAGTTCAACCAGAGTTTGAATGGGGTGAGGTTTCCCGGTGGACTTCAAAGCTTGACTTTTGGTCGCAATTTCAATCAAAGTTTGGTGGATGTGAACTTACCACAGAGCCTCTTGAGTCTCACTTTCGGCGACAAGTTCAATCAGAGCTTGGATAATGTGAATTTGCCCAGACTCCGAAGCTTGACATTTGGCAGCAGGTTCAGACAGAGCGTGGAGCGTGTGAATTTGTTGGATTTAGAACAGCTCTGTTCACAAGGATTGTATGTGAGCTGCAAGTAGGTTTCTTCAACTAGCTGGTACGCCTTGCACTGCACAGATCCCTAGAGTGAAAAAAGGGTTGCATGGAAGCCAGGCAGTGGATAGTATCGGATAGAAGAAATTGAAGGTGCAGACGATCACAGTTCTCCTATTGTGATACGTGTTCTTCATGGTTTCATACTGAGCCAAGAGGCAATCCACGATGTGAGGGCCGGCTGTGACAATATGATTTGGCAAAAGAAGAGTTGCTGCTTGTCGAAATTGTCTGTAAACGTCACGTAAGACACATCACCCTTACAGCTTCATCCATGCCACCATTGTTGGAATTTCTAGAATCTTAGAATTGGCTTGGGCTGAAGCGGCACCCCCATCCATGTGGATCATTTCCACTCCTGGAATCGCGAGGCCTGTACAAAGCTGCTGATGCAAAGATGTCAAGTCTCAAAGCCAAAGGACACCAGGGAACCGGGCCACAGGGGCCACAGGCCACAGACCGGGCAGGATGTCACAGGGAGATGGCGTCATATGGCGTCGGGGGAGGCACTCAAGATTCCTTGCAGGAGTTGTTGCCACTCCTACGAGGCGTGGCAGATCTGTTTCAATGGCTTTCCGAATTTCCATGATTCAATTTTGCAAATTTGATCAGTTTTTAATCACTTGGCATTTGAAACAGAAACAACCAACCCTTGGAGGTTGATGACTTCATCCCATATGTCGACAGCAAGCAGTTTCCACTAGCCATTTCACAAATATCAAATTTTATCAAATGATCATAATCTGATCATAATCTGATCATGTATACCGCTCCCCCCTTTTTCAACGAGGTTCTTTGCTGGTCGTGTCTCCATCCCTGCCAGGTTTGCTACAGCAAGTGGCCGAGCGGCAAAGGCTCAAGGTGGAAGCCCAAAGCAAGGCCGAAACGGCCAAGGTGCCGAAGATCCAAGTGGACTCGGAATCCCACATGGCCAACATGAACATATATGAACCACCAGCCTGGGCTCACTGAAATTACCAAATGATACATCAATACAGAAAATACAGTCACAATACAGTCACAATACAGTCACAATACAGTCAATACATCCTTTGGCTGAAATGCCCATCATGATTCGGATTGATGCCACTTAGCTCCAACTGTTTCATCGATGAAAACTTTTCGTTCGGTGACAAACCCTCCCGACAGGTGCTTCCAACCTTGGCATCGCTCTATGGACCAGAGGCACGTCCGGTAGAAGATCCTGTGGATATGTTGTGCATTTGTTAAATATGATATATCTGAGATCAATGACTCAAGAATCCCAGATGTATCATGTTCTACTAGTACTGATGTACTGTATAATTTGGGGATGATATTTGAATTGCCATGGTATTTTGATGGTTCTTGGGAGATAGTGATCTGGTCCCAACTCTGCAACCAGAACTTTCTGTGAATTTGGGACAGCGGCCGCAAAAAAAGGTGGGAAATGGTGGGAAGGAATGGCAACCCACACAGCTCGGAGTCTCGGAGGCAGTGGCCGAGGCGGAGAAAAGCACCGCCATGGCACAGGTCGGTGTGGGTGAAAAGATGTGAAAAGTGTCCTTCAAAGCTTCGCTATGTTTCGCTATTGTCTCTCCTGCAACATTGTCGCTCAAAATAGACGGAAGCACTGTTCTTTTATGTTATTTTGCTATTCTCTCTTCTTGCAATAGGGTTTCTGGTTGTCAACAGTGTATTGAGAGCTGATCCAATGGTTCCGATTGAAACCATTCGTTCCTGAAACTGGTCACAGTTCTAAATGCAGCACCAAACTTTATAAAGGGCTTGGCAATGCCGCAGGCAGAGTGTAGAAGAAACAAGAAACAAGAGATGTTTCTTGCCCGTACTTGCCCATTGACTGTGATCCATTGCAAGGCAGAGTGGAGATACTGTTGGATGGTGCGCTCCTTCTTCACCGTGAGGACCTTTTTGTGAGACAGATCCTGACTCTGCAGAGAATTTAACGAAGCCACAGAAGACCAAACTGTGTGATGTTTCCATGTTTCCTTCCATGTCAAACGGCATATCATCAAGCACAAGCAGCAAAAGCAGCCCAGGCAACACAATTATCAAATGTTTCGATTCAACGTGAAGTGATGTGAAGTGCTCTGACCTTCGCTGTGGTTCACGTTGGCTCAGCGCTAATCATTCTGATAGGACTTTAGCGAGTCTTCAGGCTGAGGTGCTCAATGCATACGAGGCGGCCATAGTGTGGTCTTAGTACCGTAGCACCATGTAGCACCATCCTGCAGCCATAGAAGCCATTGGTTCTTGGATGACTTGAAAAACACTGAAAGGATCTGAAAGGATCTCAAGATATCTCAAGATATCTCAAAGGATCTGAAAGAATCTCCGTGTGAATGGTTTCGTTGGACGACACTGTGATTTGGGGAAGCGTTGCCAGGCAGAGGAGTTCCAGGCGCGTTGCTGGTGGATTCACCATGCGGTTTTTTTGCTCTTTGACGTTTGGTTTCACAGGCAGAGAGACACTAGCAACATGATTGTGGACATGTCTAATATAATTGATATATATATTTTTTTTTTTTATCTATTTCTGATAGATGCAGCTTCAGAAATTTGAGAATCAAGATTGGGGAATGGGACCAGATCCTTTCTGCATTCAACGGCCCAAGGACTCTTCAGGTGTACATAGATTATAGATGGTTATAGGACGCAGCAACTGCATGTCCTTAGCAAAGTCTCCTCCCAAGGAGGGACTACCGTGACTTGCCGTGACTTGCGGTGACTGTCAATTTGACAAAACCGTCATGGCTTCTTACGCTTCTTGTTTGCTCGATTTGCCCAGCCTGGGGCCCAGCGTCAAGATTGAGGTCATCAGTTTGCATGGCCAAAGTCTACACTTCAGCGTGTCTGAGTCACTGACTGGCCGTGAGCTGCGAACGATGATTTGTGAAAAGGTACCACACAAACCAGGTGCCGGCCTATTTGTTCAGCATGGATCTTTGCCCTTGTGTTTGGACAAGACTTTGGTGCAACAAGGAATTCTTGGAGATTCCGTTATTTTGTCTTATGTGCATCTTCCTGTCGACATTTATGCGACCTGGAGCTTCGTCAAAAGAATGCAATACACCGAGAAAGAATTCTCATTGGAAGGGATCACCAAACTGGTAGGAATTGATTCGGTCAATCAGCTGGTGGACTTGCCAGTCAGTCTTCGGAGCTTAACATTTTCACATATTTTCAATGAAGCCCTAGATGATGTGAAGTGCTTTCCGAATGGTCTCCTGAGTTTAACCCTTGGATGTGATTTCAATCAAAGTTTCGATGTGACTCTGCCATCCAATCTCCAGGAACTGACCTTTGGCGCCAGATTCAATCAGCCTTTGGATCAAGTGATTTGGCCTTCAGGGCTCAAGAGACTGACCTTTGGCAGTCAATTCGACCAAAGTTTGGACGAGGTGAATTTTCCCGCACTCCAGTCCTTGGCTTTTGGGGATCGTTTCAACCAGAATTTGAATGAAGTGAACTTGCCAGGAAGTCTACAGGCCTTGGCGTTTGGACATGATTTTAACCAGAGTTTGGAGCAGGTAAACCTCCCGGCCGGCCTCAAGAGCTTGACATTCCCTGGTAGATTCAATCAGAGTTTCAATCGCGTAGATTTGCAAGCTGGCCTTCCTGGCCTTCAGAGCTTAACTTTGGGGAGAGAGTTCAATCAAAGCCTTGATGTGAAATTGCCTGACAGCCTTCAGAGTCTGACATTTGGAGATTCGTTCAACCAGAGGCTGGATCAGGTCGCTTTGCCTAAGAATCTTCAAAGTTCGACGTTTGGCGCATGCTTCAGTCAGAGCTTGGATCAAATAACTCTACCATATTCACTAGAAAGTTTCACGTTCGGAAAGAGGTTGGAAGAATCGTTGCATCAGGTGACCCTACCCTCTACCCTCAAGAGCCTGACTTTCAGCGCATGTTTCAACCAGACTTTGGATACAGTGAATCTACCCACGGGCCTACAGTCTTTGACTTTTGGAGATAGATTCAACCAGAGTTTGGATGAGGTTGACTTCCCAGCAGGCCTCGAAAGTTTGACCTTCGGGGATCGCTTTAACCAAAGCTTAGACGAAGTGAGGTTGCCAAGTGGCCTCAAGTCCTTGACTTTCGGTTATCAATTCAACCGGAAATTGGACAATGTGCTCTTGCCCACGGGTCTCCGAAGCTTGACATTTGGTGCTTATTTTGACCAGAGTCTGGAGAACGTGAACTTCCCCAATTGCCTCGAGAACTTGATCTTGGGTGATCGATTCAACCAAAGCTTCCAAAGAGTGAAACTGCCAGAGGGGCTTCAGAGCCTTACTTTTGGCTTTCAGTTTCATCAAAGCTTGGATGATGTGCACTTCCCCAGTGGCCTTCAAAGCTTGACCTTTGGAGATAGTTTCAACCAGAGCTTAGAGCATGTGAAGTTTCCAAGCAGCCTTCAGAGTTTAACTTTGGGCACGTTGTTTGAAGAGGCGCTGTTGCAAGGTGCAGATCTTCCTGCCCACCTCCAGGAGTTTGATTGTCGTGGCCTCTTAGTCAGCTGCAAAAGCTACAAAGCTTCATCGGCTTCATTGCATTGACAGCGCCGGAGACAGCAAAAACAGCTGCGGAAATTCTTTGAAAAACATTCTTCACTAGCCTTAGATTCAAGAAACTCTGAAAAAATAATTGATCACTTGTCCACTTTTGCGGCTATTTTGAGAGCAATGTGATCTGGAGGTTTTCGGCAAATGGTATGGAAGATGAGTTGTTCCTTAGATCAGTGTTTGTTCCAATAATCCCATGTGCAAAAGCCAAAAGCCACACTTGGCGTATGATGCAAATGATGTGACATGATGTGACTGTTGGATTTCCGGACCAGAGATTGGACCATTCCGGAGTGATTTCCCGAGCAGCACAGGCCGCATGCGAAGCATTGAACAAGACGTGGGTCAACGTGGATCGCATGCCCTTGGATCAGAAGATGCGAGCCATCGAGGCTTCACATTGCTTCACATTGCTTCACCACCAAAACCAGTGAAATGCCTTCGAAAATGGTTGAGAATCAAGTTGAGAAAACATGAGAAAAACATGAGAAAAAACATGAGAAAAACATGAGAAACCCCCATGCATAGCCTCAACGACACTGTCGATCGGGTTTTTGGTTTGATGCATGTCAAGCAGATTCATATCAAAGTGTCGTTCAGAAGCGAATGCATCCACAAGACCTCTCCGATCTCTTCACCCAAGAGCCTCAATGTATTCTCTATACGCCTTTGCAGCAAATCTTTGCATGTTTTTCTATGTTTTTGTCATGAATTGACAAGGTTCCTCACAGCACAACTTGTCGTCCAGGCTCTCTGCTTAGAAAATGCCTTGAAGCGCATCCTGCATCTTGGCTGCACTCCTCGCCACCTCGCTATGTGCAGCCTGTATAGCGAGAGCCAGCAACCGCATTCCACCGCTCATCACCGATATCCACGCGCAGCTCTCCCTTCCAAGGCCAAGATATGGCTTTAAGCCTGATGTCTGGACCCCAAACTGCTACGAAGCTGGCCAGAGGACTGTCATGCAGCTGGACGTGAACACCACAAATGAACAGAATAGGTCGAATAGGTCGCTATTTGAACTAATGGATATCAGTCAAGCTGACATGTCTGACATTACTGCTTAAAGCGATGGATGTGGTGAAATCAACGCGATTCCGATGGCTGCCCAGGCTGATGGCATGGCAGAGATGAAACAGGTCGTCACAGAGATGTCCAAACTCGACACTGAGGTGCGGCATGGTGTGGCATTTTTCTCACAAAGGAAGCTGGTGGGTAGTACGCATAGATACGGATAGATATGGATAGATATGGATAAATGATAGATGTAAATTGATATGAATGCATACATGATAGATTCTACACATGATGCACATGATACACCATGCAATGATGTTTGGTGATAACTGTTGAAGAATGATGAATAAAATGAATAATGGGGAAGAATATGAATGATGACACGTGTCTCATACATTTATAAGTAACAACATGTAATGTAACAACAGTTGAAAGAGCTCCCGCTAGGTGCGTCGCAGACAGATGCTGATCACCGCGGCTGTGGCTTGTCACGACGATGGAAACCAAACGTTGACGTATGACGATTATGACAAAATTATGACTGATTATGATATAATTATGATATAATTATGGAGATCATGACGATATACTTAGTTTGGGATGGTATGATATCGTGAACACCAATGGATTTTATCTGGAAACTCTCACAAATTTGCAGTAGAAGTTCCAAATGCGATGAGAAGATTCGGGAAGATGAGTGGGTCCCAAATTCATGTCTCTACCAAAGCGCGAGGGACGGATTGGACCTATATAATTTGACGGGAAAAGTCGAAGATACAAGCCAGGGTTGGATTTGATTTGCCCCAGGCTTGATCTGTATTGTATGATATGTATGCCAACAGAATCCAACAGATAGGAGGGATGAGACCAGTGAATTTTTTCCAGCGACCATGTTGCAATCATGGCCGAGTCGAGGTCATGAAGAAGTTTAAGCTTTGAGTCGGCTCGTGTGAGCCGCATGACCAAGCTGGCAGCTACAAGTCTCTGATTAGCACTGACAAGGTTGAAGTATGTTGAAGTTAAAATCAGTTAAGAAAGTTAAGATCCAAAGCCCATCCCACAAGCATAAAGCCAAGCAGCTCAAAAAGTTGTTTGGGATACGCAAACTGTTGAACCTACACCCTAAAGTCACCATAAATTTCCGAAACTCACATTAAAGAAAACAAAGACTTGGTAGACAAACTGATCAGCGGTGCGGCCAGAAAAAGGAGCAGCCGGGGCCACCAGGTCAAATGGGATCTTTCGTCTCGGTGTCGTGCCTGTTGTGCCTGTTGTGCCTGTTGTGCCCGTGCCTGTCAGGTTACGAACCCTACATGCCAATGACAGGCAGGGGGGAGCTCATGGCAGCAGCTCATAGGGCCCAGGAATGGCTTGGAAAGCTCAAAGTGTACCTTCCCAGCCTCATTTCTCTGATACAGACTTTCTGGGTAAACCTTCGTTGGGAAAGAGTCCATATGGGAATATGTTTCCAAGCAAGATTCAGACGCACTTTGTCGATTGGCACATTCTTTTCGTGCAAATCCAGCCCTGTCAGGATATGCCCAGCCAATGGAATCAGCGCCACGCACTCAACGGGCACGTGTGTCAGAAATAGAGGATAGCATTGATAGCATGTTGGACTGCGGCATCAAGTGCTCTAGACTCTAGATCATGTCTCTCAAGAAATTGTGAATGATGTGAATGTGAATGAATGATAATGAATGTAGACTATTGACTTTTTGTGCGAAAGGGGTTGGACCGGTTGGACCGGTTGGACAGGTTGGAAAATGATGGAAATATCTAGATCTAGTTCCATGATTCCATGATTCGACCAGGCCGACGCAACATGTGCAGCAGAAACACCGCCATGTTACAGCCGCCGCTACAAAATGAAATGCACCCAGAGAATCCTAGAGAGTTGTTTGGATGGGAGTCTGAAGAGTCTGAAAAGCACGAGCCAGGACTGCTTATCACGAGCCACAGGACTGAATTCTTGGACCTGCTTCAGTGGCAGGTAATGAGATCCGTTTGAGAGGAGTTTTTGCCTAGAGCGCCATATTTTCTGATGTATTTCTGATGTATTTCCGATGTATTAAATGTTCACCGTTCCCAACCTGAGCCACGAGGACTATGCCCCGGCACCTCTGCCACGGACTGAAGTATGGAGACCCAAGCTGGGGGAGAAAGCTGGAGGGAGATCTGAAGCGAGTTGGAGGACTTGTGGTGCTAAGGGCAGGAAAGAACATAGCTAACAATCAGCTTATAGATGCTAATTAGATGCCAACAGAGCTGATGAGACAACTTTCGACACTCTAATATACTTTAATCATCTTTAACCGAGCTGCAGAGCTGCATCAGCACGATCAAACTTGTTTACCAGATAACGTCACAGTGCTTTTTTTCATGGCGTGCTTCGCTGCTTCCATGCTCCAAGATTCTCCGAGATTCCACGGGTCGCACCTTGGTGCCCCATTGGAGTGTCACCTGTCACCACCGCCGAGGTTCCACAAGTCACACAGCATGTGAGCCCTGGGTACCTTGGCAGTGATGTTGGAGATACAGAGACAAAAACAAATGAACAATGCTGTTTTTGGGTGGTGGATGTCAAAAATAGTACTAGTAATGTTTTTTTGCAGACAACTGCTACAGATAGAAATAGGGCTTAAAGATATTTGAAGTATGAGCTTACACTTTTGGACCCCATCTTGTCAATTGCAAGTGCGGTGAAGTTAGCTAAAGACGCAATCCAAGCTCCAGGCACGCTACGGGCCCACCAGAGACACAGGCTCTCAGACAGATACAGATGCAACAGATATGCAACAGATATGCAACAGATGCAATGTGGGGACTGTGCCTTAAGTTCAAATAATCAACACGGAAACACATCGAGACACATCGAAACACATCGAAACACATCAGCGAATCATCATGTCAGTGTGGTTTGTTTGGAGGTTTGGGCCGCTATTTGCGTCTTCGCCATGACGTTGGTAGACATTGATTCGTAGTGGCATTTTCACTCAGGAAACTTGATAAGTTTGGCCTGTTTGCAGGTTGCCCAACGAGGAGCTCAGCAAATCGTATGAAGCCCTGGAAGCTTTGTGAGTCAAGACAAGGCAATACAATGGCAATGGACATGGCAATGACATGCAATGACTGCAGACCCGTAGACGAACAAAGCTGCTTTGAACTGCTTTGAACTGCTTTGAACTGCTTTGAACCGGAGCCAAGGCGTCCTTCTCCCCACCAATGGAGAAGCCGCAGCCGCAAGGCCCATCACGTGTCCTCGGTCACTCCATCTCATCCAAGGAAGGTAGTGGAATCGATAGTGGAATCTACAAAACTGTCCTTAAAATGGCAGTGAAGATGTTTTTTTCCAATTTTTCTAGCCCAAAGTCTGAGTTTCAACATTTTTCAATAGTGTTCTATCCGAATAGTTCCGATGCAGCAGGCACTACGTTCAGCAGCCATTTGGCAGGCTGGAGCCGTTTCAGAGACAGGGGCACCAGGGGACCTGCATAATCAGTGTTTGATTGAGCCATCCATACACCTGCCACAACCTCCAAAGCCCAGAAACCTGCAAGAGAAGTTTGTCTCGATGAAACTGGATGGTTTGAAACTGGATCGTGCAAGATTCTGCTAGATGATTTTACGCATTTGAAGCAAAGAGAGTGCTGTTCCGAAGGATCGACAAGACAGCATAAGACAGCCATGGTAATATGCGATATTGTGACGATATGACTTGGCACTGAAAGATTTTCGGGCCGTGTCACAGGCTATCATCCTCAGACCTTGCCAGCATCGCACGGAGCCTCAACGGCAGCCCTGGTAGCCTGGGATGTTTCATGGATGTTGTGACAAATGTCGAATGATGTCCAACCCACACCATGCCACGCCAGTCTCAGGTACTTCACCATCACCATAATGACCATCACTATCATCATCACCATCCTAAGCCAGAGAATCAGAGGGCCCAAAAATATCCTTCATCCACAGCATCCAGGTTACTTAGCAACTTGCCACTTGCCGCTTCAAGGTACACGGCTCCTCGTACTGCTGGCTATCCAGCTCCTCAACCTCAGGCGTCATGTGATATCCTGTGGAACCTGTGGAACCTGTGGAACCTGTGGAACAGGAATGTGGATAATGTGGATAATGTGGATAATGTGGATAATGTGGTATGTGACAGCCTGATGATGACATATATGACATGAGATTTGGTGCGCATCACTTGCAACGATGTGCATCCGAAGCCGGAGACTGACAGTTTTCTGATTGCCCTTGAGGGGAAGATACGTCTGGTGAATTATCTTTCGGTGCCCGCCACACCAGCACTCGGCAGGCACAACCTTTGCCATATCAGCGATTGGCCATGCCCGGAATGGAGCATGCAATGGAGGCAGCATTTGAGTCACAGACGTCGACGCCTTTTATCAGCTGGGCTTTGAGTGCTAACAGCGCTATGAAATGAGTGTCACTAAATGACAATTCCGCAACTCACAGGCACAGAAAATGAGACTTTAAGAGAGTTTGCACAGATTGAATCTGATTTTGGCAGAGTTTTGTTCATTGCCACAGCGGCCAGGTGAAGCCGCAGCCGATCCGTACCACACACGTCACACAGGTGGGGGCCTAGATATTTTCAGAGGTGACAAGTTACGAAAGAGGGGTGTTGATTGGTGCTTGTAAATGTAGATACATATACAAAGTATATCCAATTATTTCCTGGTTTTAGAACCCATGTATTGGTTACATTTCAAAATCCGTTATGCCAAAATACTTTGGGAACTCCGCCAGGCACCGCAAATCGTGAGGCTTGCAGTGATGGGATGGGAAGAGGACGCATTCAGTGATGCATGAATTGGATTCAACATATTCAACGTTGTCCAAACACTTCAAAGAAGCTTGGACGAGAAGTGATCAAGCCTGAAACTGGCATAGCAACAACCACAGCTGCAACCAACATCAAGAAACAACGGTTCTAAAGGAATTCTTCGAATGGTTCTAGCGTGAAGGTGACCAAATCCCGACAGGCGTGCTCCGGCATTTTCAGGGATTTCAGGACCTTTCCAAGCTGCCAGGCGGCTCAGACTCGCAAGGACTCGAAGAACTCGCATCTGAGAACAAACGTGAGACCTGGAAAAACCAATCCATGTACGTGGCAGAGACTTTGTAAGATGTGGAAGATCAATTTCGGAGAGAAGTTTGAGGAAGAAATCTAATAGAATAGGTATAGGTCAGATAGTTTCAAGCACATAATTCCAAGCGGGCAAGAAAAGCAGCGATGGAGAAGTGAACGAAAATCATTTTGAGATATTTTGAGGTTTCCTCAGGATATTAAACATATTTGCATGCTCTGGACATACCACAAAAACTCTTAGTTGACTCAGTTGACATCTTTTTATGGCAGTTTTCTGCAAGGTTTCCAACAGATCCGGAGTGAAACAATACGAAACAAATGCGAAATTGCAGAAGATACGTGAAGAAGTTCCAAGCTGCACCTGCAACGCTTTCCAATGATCTCCCAGGCTCGACCTCAATGAGCCACGACATTGCGAACCGGTGCCACGGTGATGAGTGGTCAAGTGGTGAAGGATGTGAAGGGATTTGGCCAGGTGGACCCTAGGCATCCAGGTGACAAATGATACAGATGACTGCACATCGGATCTGCAAAAATGATATAGTGATGACGGTCTGAAGTGATAGAACTACGGTGCTCAATTTCAATCTGTTGCAAATGCCAAGATCATTCAGTATAACATGCACGGAGCCAACCAGTACTTGGAATGCCTCAAACTGCTGGGACGATATTGCCTCTGAACAGATGCACCATTTCTTCGAAAAAAACGGCGCTGTTTGACCACTGTTGACCTTACTTCTCAGCGCATTGCGCTTGAGCTACGCAGTGAGCTGCGCAATGTCTGAAGGGAGTGCTCTTTTCGCCCGTTGATTGGCGAACCCTC